TAAAATATACTGCTTCTCAGTACTTCTAAGCTGTTTCAAAGATTATGAAGCTGAACTTTCATGAATTTGCAGAAAATTACACAGTGGTGCATTTTTGACTTATTTCACTGAGAGAAAGCTTTTTTCGTCTTAGTCTTATTTTTGACTTCTTTCACTGAGATCAACACTGGAATTGTTCAAAACACTAAAATATACTGCTTCTCAGTACTTCTAAGCTGTTTCAAAGATTATGAAGTGAACTTTCATGAATTTGCAGAAAATTACACAGTGGTGCATTTTGACTTATTTCACTGAGCGAAAGCTTTTTCGTCTTAGTCTTATTTTTGACTTCTTTCACTGAGATCAACACTGGAATTGTTCAAAACACTAAAATATACTGCTTCTCAGTACTTCTAAGCTGTTTCAAAGATTATGAAGCTGAACTTTCATGAATTTGCAGAAAATTACACAGTGGTGCATTTTTGACTTATTTCACTGAGAGAAAGCTTTTTCGTCTTAGTCTTATTTTTGACTTCTTTCACTGAGATCAACACTGGAATTGTTCAAAACACTAAAATATACTGCTTCTCAGTACTTCTAAGCTGTTTCAAAGATTATGAAGCTGAACTTTCATGAATTTGCAGAAAATTACACAGTGGTGCATTTTTGACTTATTTCACTGAGAGAAAGCTTTTTTCGTCTTAGTCTTATTTTTGACTTCTTTCACTGAGATCAACACTGGAATTGTTCAAAACACTAAAATATACTGCTTCTCAGTACTTCTAAGCTGTTTCAAAGATTATGAAGCTGAACTTTCATGAATTTGCAGAAAATTACAGTGGTGCATTTTTGACTTATTTCACTGAGAGAAAGCTTTTTCGTCTTAGTCTTATTTTTGACTTCTTTCACTGAGATCAACACTGGAATTGTTCAAAACACTAAAATATACTGCTTCTCAGTACTTCTAAGCTGTTTCAAAGATTATGAAGCTGAACTTTCATGAATTTGCAGAAAATTACACAGTGGTGCATTTTTGACTTATTTCACTGAGAGAAAGCTTTTTCGTCTTAGTCTTATTTTTGACTTCTTTCACTGAGATCAACACTGGAATTGTTCAAAACACTAAAATATACTGCTTCTCAGTACTTCTAAGCTGTTTCAAAGATTATAAAGTGAACTTTCATGAATTTGCTGAAAATTACACAGTGGTGCATTTTTGACTTATTTCACTGAGAGAAAGCTTTTTTCGTCTTAGTCTTATTTTTGACTTCTTTCACTGAGATCAACACTGGAATTGTTCAAAACACTAAAATATACTGCTTCTCAGTACTTCTAAGCTGTTTCAAATATTATGAAGCTGAACTTTCATGAATTTGCAGAAAATTACACAGTGGTGCATTTTTGACTTATTTCACTGAGAGAAAGCTTTTTTCGTCTTAGTCTTATTTTTGACTTCTTTCACTGAGATCAACACTGGAATTGTTCAAAACACTAAATATACTGCTTCTCAGTACTTCTAAGCTGTTTCAAAGATTATGAAGCTGAACTTTCATGAATTTGCAGAAAATTACACAGTGGTGCATTTTTGACTTATTTCACTGAGAGAAAGCTTTTTTCGTCTTAGTCTTATTTTTGACTTCTTTCACTGAGATCAACACTGGAATTGTTCAAAACACTAAAATATACTGCTTCTCAGTACTTCTAAGCTGTTTCAAAGATTATGAAGCTGAACTTTCATGAATTTGCTGAAAATTACACAGTGGTGCATTTTTGACTTATTTCACTGAGAGAAAGCTTTTTTCGTCTTAGTCTTATTTTGACTTCTTTCACTGAGATCAACACTGGAATTGTTCAAAACACTAAAATATACTGCTTCTCAGTACTTCTAAGCTGTTTCAAAGATTATGAAGGTGAACTTTCATGAATTTGCAGAAAATTACACAGTGGTGCATTTTTGACTTATTTCACTGAGAGAAAGCTTTTTTCGTCTTAGTCTTATTTTTGACTTCTTTCACTGAGATCAACACTGGAATTGTTCAAAACACTAAAATATACTGCTTCTCAGTACTTCTAAGCTGTTTCAAAGATTATGAAGCTGAACTTTCATGAATTTGCAGAAAATTACACAGTGGTGCATTTTTGACTTATTTCACTGAGAGAAAGCTTTTTTCGTCTTAGTCTTATTTTTGACTTCTTTCACTGAGATCAACACTGGAATTGTTCAAAACACTAAAATATACTGCTTCTCAGTACTTCTAAGCTGTTTCAAAGATTAAAGTGAACTTTCATGAATTTGCAGAAAATTACACAGTGGTGCATTTTTGACTTATTTCACTGAGAGAAAGCTTTTTCGTCTTAGTCTTATTTTTGACTTCTTTCACTGAGATCAACACTGGAATTGTTCAAAACACTAAAATATACTGCTTCTCAGTACTTCTAAGCTGTTTCAAATATTATGAAGCTGAACTTTCATGAATTTGCAGAAAATTACACAGTGGTGCATTTTTGACTTATTTCACTGAGAGAAAGCTTTTTTCGTCTTAGTCTTATTTTTGACTTCTTTCACTGAGATCAACACTGGAATTGTTCAAAACACTAAAATATACTGCTTCTCAGTACTTCTAAGCTGTTTCAAAGATTATGAAGCTGAACTTTCATGAATTTGCAGAAAATTACACAGTGGTGCATTTTTGACTTATTTCACTGAGAGAAAGCTTTTTCGTCTTAGTCTTATTTTTGACTTCTTTCACTGAGATCAACACTGGAATTGTTCAAAACACTAAAATATACTGCTTCTCAGTACTTCTAAGCTGTTTCAAAGATTATGAAGCTGAACTTTCATGAATTTGCAGAAAATTACACAGTGGTGCATTTTTGACTTATTTCACTGAGAGAAAGCTTTTTTCGTCTTAGTCTTATTTTTGACTTCTTTCACTGAGATCAACACTGGAATTGTTCAAAACACTAAAATATACTGCTTCTCAGTACTTCTAAGCTGTTTCAAAGATTATGAAGCTGAACTTTCATGAATTTGCAGAAAATTACACAGTGGTGCATTTTTGACTTATTTCACTGAGAGAAAGCTTTTTTCGTCTTAGTCTTATTTTTGACTTCTTTCACTGAGATCAACACTGGAATTGTTCAAAACACTAAAATATACTGCTTCTCAGTACTTCTAAGCTGTTTCAAAGATTATGAAGCTGAACTTTCATGAATTTGCAGAAAATTACACAGTGGTGCATTTTTGACTTATTTCACTGAGAGAAAGCTTTTTTCGTCTTAGTCTTATTTTTGACTTCTTTCACTGAGATCAACTGGAATTGTTCAAAACACTAAAATATACTGCTTCTCAGTACTTCTAAGCTGTTTCAAAGATTATGAAGCTGAACTTTCATGAATTTGCAAAATTACACAGTGGTGCATTTTTGACTTATTTCACTGAGAGAAAGCTTTTTTCGTCTTAGTCTTACTTTTTGACTTCTTTCACTGAGATCAACACTGGAATTGTTCAAAACACTAAAATATACTGCTTCTCAGTACTTCTAAGCTGTTTCAAAGATTATGAAGCTGAACTTTCATGAATTTGCTGAAAATTACACAGTGGTGCATTTTTGACTTATTTCACTGAGAGAAAGCTTTTTTCGTCTTAGTCTTATTTTTGACTTCTTTCACTGAGATCAACACTGGAATTGTTCAAAACACTAAAATATACTGCTTCTCAGTACTTCTAAGCTGTTTCAAAGATTATGAAGCTGAACTTTCATGAATTTGCAGAAAATTACACAGTGGTGCATTTTTGACTTATTTCACTGAGAGAAAGCTTTTTTCGTCTTAGTCTTATTTTTGACTTCTTTCACTGAGATCAACACTGGAATTGTTCAAAACACTAAAATATACTGCTTCTCAGTACTTCTAAGCTGTTTCAAAGATTATGAAGCTGAACTTTCATAAATTTGCAGAAAATTACACAGTGGTGCATTTTTGACTTATTTCACTGAGAGAAAGCTTTTTCGTCTTAGTCTTATTTTTGACTTCTTTCACTGAGATCAACACTGGAATTGTTCAAAACACTAAAATATACTGCTTCTCAGTACTTCTAAGCTGTTTCAAAGATTATGAAGCTGAACTTTCATGAATTTGCAGAAAATTACACAGTGGTGCATTTTTGACTTATTTCACTGAGAGAAAGCTTTTTTCGTCTTAGTCTTATTTTTGACTTCTTTCACTGAGATCAACACTGGAATTGTTCAAAACACTAAAATATACTGCTTCTCAGTATTTCTAAGCTGTTTCAAAGATTATGAAGCTGAACTTTCATGAATTTGCAGAAATTACACAGTGGTGCATTTTGACTTATTTCACTGAGAGAAAGCTTTTTTCGTCTTAGTCTTACTTTTTGACTTCTTTCACTGAGATCAACACTGGAATTGTTCAAAACACTAAAATATACTGCTTCTCAGAACTTCTAAGCTGTTTCAAAGATTATGTAGCTGAACTTTCATGAATTTGCAGAAAATTACACAGTGGTGCATTTTTGACTTATTTCACTGATAAAGCTTCTTTGGTCTTAGTTAGGTTTATGTTAAAAAAAAACACCAGAATTATTGAAACCACAAAAATATACTGCTTCTCAGTATTTTTTATGCTGTTTCAAAGACTATGTAGCTGAAAGTTGAATATTTCGCTGAAAAATTCACATTGGTGCATTTTTTACGTTTCTTTACTGACAAAGCGATTTAATCCCTGGCAGTCATTTTTCTCATAAAACATAGAAATTAGACTTTGTCCATGCTTGGTTGCAGTTGACCTGGCCCAGCTATTATCGTTTACCATAATGTCTTAACCAGTAAACTGATTGGTGTCCCACTATTCTGTTTAGAAAGTCCAAATCTATTCTACCATTTGCAATCGATTTATAAACTGTGTTCCAAAGACCTTAAATATCCAATTGTTGCAAAACCCAAAGTGATTCATTTAAAACTTTAGATGTAGCTTCAACCTGGAAAGAGTCACACAGAAAGTAGGTTTTAGAGAATTTATTTGATCAGAAATAATCTTCGGCGCTCGGACCCCGGCCAGTAGACACTGCGCTGGTAACTGCCAGAGAGAATGATTCACTGTTCAGGAATTTGTTTTTTTTCTATACGAAAACCTTTTTGAATAAAGTCACTGGATACATAAATTAAACCTATGTGTAAATTCTAACTATGACTGTCTTCATCTCACCTGATCATGCACCTTCGTTCAGCCTAGCGGCGCTGGTCTCATCTCCTTCAAAATCAAAATCAAATCAAATTTTATTTGTATAGCACATTTCAGCAGCAAGGCATTTAAAAGTGCTTTTAATCATAAATACAAAAACACAAAGTCATGCAACATATAATAGACAATAGATTGTTACATATTACATTTCAAATACAATTCTAAACAGGTGTGTTTTTAGTTGCGATTTAAAGGAAGTCAGGGTTTCTGCTGTTGTACAATTATCTGGATGTTTGTTCCAAATTTTTGGTGCATAGATGCTGAAAGCTGCTTCTCCTCTTTTGGTTCTGCTTCTGGGGATGCAAAGCAGACCAGAACCAGAAGACCTGAGAGTCTGGAAGGTTGATACAACAGCAGATCTTTGATGTATTGTGGTGCTAAACCGTTCAGTGATTTATAAACTAACAACAGTATTTGAAAATCTGTTCTTTGAGCTACAGGGAGCCAGTGGAGGGACTTTAAAACTGGTGTTATGTCTCTATCTTCCTGGTTTTAGTGAGAACGCGAGCAACAGCGTTCTGGATCAGCTGCAGCTGTTTGATTGATTTTTTGGACAGGCCTGTGAAGATGCTGTTACAATAATCAATGCGACTAAAGATAAACGCCTTCATAAACTCCTCACCTGAGCTTCCATCACCTCGACCTGGTCTCAACCTTCGCTGAGCTCGCCTTTAATCTTATGTTTGTATTATGACTTTGTAACCAAACAATGTTTCTGTATGTTTTTGCTTTATTACAAAACAACAGTTGAGTCTGACTGTTAAAACACAAACAACTTAACTGTATGTCAAGTTTGTAAAGAAAATTTGTATTGATTCCAGTCATTGTTCAAAAAATATAGGAAACATTGTATTTACACATATAAAATATTGCAAGTTATTAACTTAGCTTGCATTTAAAATTTTTAAAACAACGTTATCCAATTGCTAAACAACACTGTTACAATATATCTGCCACTACTTTATTTGTTCTACTCTCGCCAACAAAATAAAGCCACAATGTGTGGAAACGACACCATTTCTGTATAAACTAAATAATGTAAATCAACTGAGCTACAACAAAAGGAACATTCAAACATGTACATAATATTTAAAGAAAACATTATGAAAAAGGATGACTGAACAAGTCAAAAGGCAAATGTGCTTCAGCAGAAATGATTTAAAATGACATGTCACAAAAAAACAAAAAAAAAAAAACAAACGATGTGTGACAACTGAAATGTGTGAAAGACTGTAGAAAACAACTAATATTCTCCTAGCATTTAGTACTGGCATTCAGGGCAGTGTCTAAGTATGCTATCAGAGTAGTAATGAGGGAACTCTCCTCATCTTCCATTTCCAGTGAAGCTCATACAAGTCTTTATATTGCCGGTTGCAGGAAGAACATGTTACAATCGCAAAAGGAATCCGGTTTTCTGCCTTGAATAACTCTGAAAATCTACCCCAGTTGATCTCACCTATGAATGACAAATTGATTTCATGTAGTTGAAATCTTATTTCATATGTTTTAATTGAAAAAAGTAAAAGGTCCTTACCATCCAGCCAAGCAAAGTGAGTCTTCCTCCTGAAAACTAGGTCAGACACAATGGCTTCAAAGCACTTGCAGGTCAATGCTAAGGTGAGGTAAGATGTGCCTCCCTGTGCTGGTATCACCTCCCAGAGAATAGCTTCAAGTATATTCAAAGTCTTCTGAAAATAATAATAAAAAAAAAAACAAAACAAAAAAAAAACAGGTGCATCGCAATCTGTCATCCTGGAAGAATGGCTATGACACATGATTATGAATGAATCTTACCTGCAAGTTTGGCAGTATCCTGCCTGGTGAAGAGCATTAAATAATAATTAAGACTTGGTAGCTTATCCTTTCCATCTCTGATGGTATAAAAAATTCTGTCCAAATTCTGAATTAATTTAAAAATAATATTAATTTATTATGTAGTGTCATTTGCAAATAAAGATATACAAATCAAAATTACTAGTTATGTGTGAATTTTAAAAATTAACCTCAATTTGTGCCTCGGCTGCTTTGGCATAGGTATGGTCATCAAAATATTAATACAGTGTGGTCTGTAAAAATATAGATATTTTCTAAGAGAAAGATGAATTTAAGTCCAAATAACATCAAAACTGCTTCAACCCTTTCAATTTTTATATCCTGATTTTCTTTCAGACTTACAGAAGTCTGAAAGACATAATACAAGGTACATGATTCAAAACTACAAAGTGATGAATTTTATCTACAGCTTACCTCACATTTTGCCCTCTCATCAACTTTTTCCACTTTCTCCCCTTAAGTAGTTCTTCTCTGGACCTTATAAAAAGGACAAATTGAAGGTTTTCTTAAAATAAAACTGACATTTGTAACATGATGTGGAACAGTGCACCATTATTCTTACTTCACAAGGAAATTTCTCAAGACAGTGAGAGACCACTATCTTCGTATTGTCATCATATCATTCTGTGGACATCACAGGTTCACATTTAATGAAATCTCCAACAGAAAGTATAGACTCATCTGATTCTTTACCTCGCTGAAATCAAATGATGCTGCCATCACAAAGTACACTGGATACTGTTGAGAAAAATATGATTATTACATCTATACAAACCATACAACAATATGGTGGGTGGAAGTGGATGTTAACATCACCACAAACATTCCACAGTTTTTGGACAGTCCTTGTTTCGGCAATCCCTGTGGTATTTACGAGAAAATTCAAAAAGGGGGAAGAAAATTATTGCGTCATTACTATAACAATCACATTGAGGTGAAGGACAACAGCCTTACCCACAGTATTGATTATTAACATTTAAAGCAGAAATGGTTGTAAATAAGCAGACTTGTAGCTCCGAAGAACCACAAGTGTCCCATCATAACGTCTCATATCATCATCATTGCCAACAACTTCTGTCCATGGTCCAGATATGTCAAGACAGTCTTCTGTGATGATACAAAGTTTTTAAGTTAAAAACTTAAAAAAGGGTATATTTCACAACATAAAAATTATAAACATGTATGAGAATGCAAGACAGAACGGTCTCTCGATGGTCCAGCTTTAACCCATGCCTTGTTTAAAAAGAAACAAGAAACTGCTTAGAAAATGTGTCTTATTGCATTTTAGGCATTAAAACCTTATTCACAAATTCAATTTGGATATTTACTGTTACATAAATATGAAGATTAATGCTGAACCTTTGCCTCCGTGGAAAAACGGAACAGCATACTGAAGACATACCACTTTCAAACTTATTCCTATACACCTTTAATGTTTTGATGTGGTTTTCATCTGTGAAGCCACTGGCAGAATCAAGGAAGAAAATCTCCCTATGCTTAGGCTTCAGAATCTGAAAAAAATATCACACTGATGGTGAACACTACCGCAGAGTAATAAATGAATTAGACAAATGTCAAGAAATGCAGTAAATATGAAGGTCAATATCAAATAAGTACTGTACTAACACATAGTGTCCAATGTCCACGCCACACAGCAATCAGAACCCAGAGTCTGTGACGCGTGGACAAAAGCATAATGATTGAATGTGGCCTGGATGTTGGTGGCTGCTGGATGGTCAAGTGGCTGGGCTGATGCACAGCTGGACACCATATTGAAAGTCATTGTGTGGTTAACCAAATGATTAACAAACCTGTCCCTTCTGTCAGTGGTTGAAAACAGTGCGGGCAATAAAAGTGAGATGTGTTTCAGGGTAGGCCACATCTGAATATATGGACATCTGAATCTAACAAAAAGATATGAATAAAATAAAAATAAAAAACATCTATATACATAGCAGATATGTTTAAACAAGACATGATTCATTCCCACTCAAAATAGAACAAGAACACAGTGTAATAGCTACTAACATAAAAGAAAAAGCTTATTACACATCAGGATATATACAATTGGTAGAAAACAAAGGCATTTTTGAAATTAATCACTGTAGATTCTTTAACATTATTATTATTGTTTGTAGGATTTAACAATAAATTTTAGAAGTCACAATGGTTTCCAGATAACATATATTCTGCAAAAAATTTATTGAAATTGTAAAAGGGATATTGCTCAAACAGCCAACGGCAGGTATTAACTAATTAGATTTAGTCAATTACTCTGTAACTTTTGACAAAAAAATAAATAAAATTAGGACCATTTTTATGTTGAACTCTTAGTAAATTTTGTTGATATGCAACCTAATGACAGTAGCTGAACACATTTTAATCCATAAAAACGTAAAACACGATACACAGATACGTAAATGTGGTTTATGTGAGATTTCTTCTAACCTTAATTTGTTGTCTTCTAAAAAGTATTACTTTCCAGAAATTTAACATTGATGTAAAAAAACATATTTATTGATTTACTATGTGAAAAAAAGTTTTAAGGAAGAAAATATCTTTGCTGACTTTGTGGGTTTTGCATTATGGATCGTGTGCCGAATATCATGGAAGAATCTCTCAAACTTCCTTCAATCGACCTCTTAACCCCGCTTTTTTAAGGTTTGTGAAAATAGCGCCCCCTTCATTTCCGGAATGCAACAGTCCCATTTCCAAATAAGGTATGGGACTGACAGTGGTTCGTCCCTGACCCTTTCTGTTTGCTGCAGCGAGGTCCTTCTTTCCCAGAGCCACCTCTTGGTGAATTATGACATGTAATGGTGGTTCTGGTTTTCTGTGGAAGTCACGCCCATAAATCATGCAAAGCCTCATGGGGGCTAATAATAATTTAGACAACATTTCACAGAAGCAGGCTTTCGTTGCGATGTCACGACCAACTTCCATACCAGTAGAGCGATGTTTGTAGGCGTAAGAGCGATTTCAAAAATCTACTCCTTTTCTCACTAACGGAGCGGCAGCAAGGCATTTCAATGATTCTCCTATGTAATGCTATGGCAGGCCCCAATAACTCCACTTGTGAAAGTTCCAGTTGAGGAAAATGCAAGGAGACAGACCCAGTATTTCAATAGGATATTTTATTTTTCAGTGTTTTAGTATAAAAATTCCAGCAGCCTGCTTTTGGCTGGTTTCTGTTCCAATGGACTAGAACTGTGTGTTTTTTTACTTTTCTTCCCAGAGAATCAACTAAAGTACCAAATGTATTTACAGCAAACTGTCAGCAGGGCTGGAGGACCAAGAAGAAGCCTACTCTCTGCTACCCATCAGCATCTATCATACCTCACACATTTAATGCCATCAGTCCAAACAAAAACAACTAAAAAAAGGGAGGGTATGAGCACCCGTAGTATTTCCTCACCATACCTTCTATATAAAGTGATGCATATCCGTTTTCTGCTCTGCAATAAATTAGTCCAGGCACATTCTCTACTCTCCTTCAGGGCAATGCTGGAGAACACACTGCTGTGTCGCTCAGAGACATGACTGAAAGCTCAAAAAAAGAAGTCAGAGTGAAGCATGAGGACGGGCAGTTGGTTCTGTTTTCCTTTTGGTTTTCATGTCAACGATGCACTTTAAAACTTTTGGAGCTTCTATATAGATCTTATATAAATATCTACAAGCAAACAAAAAATAATAGTAAAGTAGTCCAGTAAAAACATTTGGTTACAAAAAAAAAAAAAACATCACACAGAATTAATGCCAGAAACAAGAACTTGATGCAGGATATCTCAATAAGTTATAAAACAAACAAAAAAACAACAATACAGTATACATGTTTGTTCTCAATGTGGAGATAGCACCAGCAGGACCAGCAGCACCGGCGACCACTACTCACACCTACCTTTGAAGGTCCAAAAATCAAGAGTGTGTGTACCAAATAAAACTGAAGAGTGAATAAATTAGTGTCAGGCTATGTGTGTGATATTTACATGAGCTGCTGCTGTCACACTCATACACTGACAGATGGAGGATCTCACAGCAGCACATTTTAAGAGGTCAGAGGTTGAGCACTGACACATTCACCAGGCTGAGCTCTTCCTTTGCATAGCTTTGACTACAGTGAGCCATTGTGGGACTCCAGACAGGGGGATGGATAAACATGAGTGTTTATGTTGTGCGTATGAGGCAGAACGTCCTCTCTGCATGGATCGTGACGATGAAAGGTGATGGTTGGTGGACCTGCTGAGGAGGACAGGGTTTAGCGGGTGGCAGCGAGGCCGCTGCCGCCACCATTCACCTCCAGATTCCCTCTGACAGAGTTGAGCTGCTTCATGGCCCGATCGAAGGCAAGCCGCACAGTTCTCCTGATGGAGGAAGCACGAGCTTCCATCAGCTTCACTCTGTCCAGGCTCTGGTTGATCCCAAACGGAGCCATCTTGGATCTAGGAAGCCATTGCCTAAGGAAAGGGAGATTTGCAGATCAAAAACCCCTAAACAGATTCTCTTAAAGCTACAATATGTAACTTTTATAGAAAAGACGTTTTACGTATTTGTTAAAACTGTCACAATTTTTGTGGTAGTATAACATAAGACAGATAATCTCTGAAAAAAATCTAGCTGCTCAGTAGTAACTGTAGAAATGCATCCCTCAGCCAGAAAAAACAAATCAGAGCCAGGAGGAGGTTGACTGACAGCACTAGCTCTTATTGGTTGTTTCTAAGTGGTGCTCATGGACCCCTTGGATGTCATATTTCACAGGAATTTCATGTTCAACCTCCACCCGACAATGGACTCTCACGTTTAATGTCAGCTAAAATCTGTAGGATGTAATTTAAACTTTTTTTTTATATATATACAGTATGTATTGAAACTTTTGCAGTTATAACATGAAACAGCTATAAGTTTTGGGGTAAAAAAATCGATCTCTGCTTCCTTCCCATGTTCTCCAGAATTAGACAGCTCGATCAGAAATAACCACTCAGAGCCAGCACCAAACCATTACCCATTGTCTGAGCCAGTTTTGATTTAGTAACTTAGGATTGTTTAAAATTGATACAACCTTTATTTGATAAAAAATTAATATTTTCTTGTTTTACTTTACATTATTTGATAATGTTTGCAATGTTGTGAGATTTGTCTCCCGTATAATTTAGGCTTTAAGAACTTTACTGTTAAGTATTGCTTAACAGTAAAGGTTTGTCAATTGCTTAACAGTAAAGGTTTGTCAATTGTCCTTTTGACTGAATGACGATTTTATTGTGCCTGGCAAGTATTTTGCATGTTTTTTTCTAAATCTGGTGAATTTATTGCTAGATAATTTTTCAATTTTGCCAGATAACAGAAATATTTATATCTAAAAGGGAAAAATTAACAACCAATCCAGATGATCGGCTATGATCAATAATCGGCAGTGATCAGCCTGGGAGGAGCTTGATCTTTTCACAGACTCAAGTTACATACCATGTGCCAGTTTTAACAAATATGTAAAACATATTTTCCAAAAAATGACAGCTTTAACACAATTCCTGAACATGACTAAATACTTTTCCTAAGAAATTATTTTGCAGCTCATCATGGAAAAATTACAATAAGGTCAAATCTGGTAGTCATGTCATATGAAATGTTTGTGAACTCTCACCAAAAGAGCTATTTGGGTTACTTGTAACCCAAATACAAGTAACCCAAGGACCAGACCATCTTGCCCCTTGCTTTCCTTCTTTATCATTGTATAAAAACTTACATGTTGTCTCTGCCTGGCAGAGCTTAGTGAGCTGGGTTAGCCTGGCATCCACACTGGCTTGATTATTAATTGTCTAATGAGCTCTCTGTATTGTGCACCATGCATGAATAAACCTGATTGAGTGATTCTACCTGGACAGTGCTTGGAAATATTTTTCCACAACACAGCCTCGTTTCAAAATACCATACTTTCAAAAATAGTGACTATGGTAGATAAATATGTATTTATCTACAAGGATGAGGTCCCTGATCAAAGATATCAATTGTGATATTTTATAAAAGACACCAGGGAAATACAATATAAAATCTAATTGCAACCCGGGTCGGGTGTAAATGGACTATAAGCCATGTAGATTGTACCGCTTGCTCCCATTGTTTGTAACCATAACTGCAAGAGCTGTACCATGAACAAGATACAAAAATTAAAATTGCAAACTACTGGTACAACGACTAAGTTTTGTGCCATTGTGTTCAGTGATTAGCCGGTACCATCCTGTGCTTAATTTCTTCATTTTTCTGCTGATATCAAGGCGACAGCAGACCGTAGCCAAAACTTAGCCACTAAAGCTAACACACGGTTTGTAGCTGCCTGGTATTTCAAAGCTTGTGGATATTGAAGATTCAGCGTCAGAAATGGGAAGACGGAGGTTAAAAGGAATCTGTGCTTTGTTCAGTGGAATAATTTGTTGGAGGAAAATAATGCTAGAGGAAATCCACTGCTATGGGAACGGGCTGAGGACAGAGGCGGCGATTCAGCACAAGTAAGTCAATATGTTATATGTTATACAGAGTATGAAAATGATTTTTAGGCAACTCCTCCGTTTTTGTTTATATGACAAGTATATTCAATATATATAAAATGCCCCTCCAATAGCGAGCAACGCTTAAGCCTGAAAATTATTCAATTGTTCTGTATCACCAACACCGAGCAACACGATCCAAACCACAAAGATAGCCGGTCATATTAAAGTTCAAAACCTTCGCTTTACAGCCATATAAATGTCACCGATCCACATGAAAAATCCTCTGAGTTTGCTTTACAAATAGTAAAGAATAGTTTATTTTCCAAATCCCAAAAATATGACATCTACATTTGCCGTTTCATAATTATAGCCCATGTTAGAGTGAATTTTTCCACTTGGCTTCTATAATCTGTTTTTGTGCTACACAAAACTAATTTCTCTTTTTTCCCCTGAGATACTGCTTAGAAAATGAGGCTATTACATCATCCCGCTGCTTTTTATTATTAAAATGGTAAATTTATGTTTGGTTGGACTTTTATAAACTAATGCCTCTTCTATGCATAATTTGTTTGTATTACTGTTGGTACAGATATTTGGCAAACACTGTGCTGCGTTTAATTTCAGCTACACACTTTCAAAAGAATATTCGGATTTTAACATGCATTTTCTACGTGGTAAATATTTCAGTTCACTCTTACTCACTAACTCTAACTTCAGTGATGCTACACCTCTGAAATATTTTTTGCAATTTTTTTTAATTGTGTTACCAGAACTGTTTGTTTTAAACATTCAATTTCCCAGGATATTGTCAATTTATTTTTAAGCAATACTCTCAAAAAGAGCTTAGGGTTTATTAGATTTTGATTATGTTGGTAATCTGTACCAACTACTGGTAGTAATATTTCACAGATGTAGTGCCGGTCAACCTCCGCCAGACAGTGAGCTCTCACACTGAACAGCTGCTTAAAGATGCAGCATGTAACTTAAAAACAAAAGATTTTACATATGTATTAAAACTTTCGCTGTCAAAACATAAGACAGGTAATCTTTGAAAAAGAAAATGTCCACAAACAAATTATGGAGGTAGGCACCCCTCCAGACCCCAGTAGGGATGAGGGTCTACAGAAAATGGATGGATGTTATCTTTACAGATATGCTTTACAGATAGACCCTAAATAAAAGCAGTGTGATAATGAATAAAAATCTAACAAACTAGGTCATAAAAAAAATAGACATCTACCGGTAGTTATATTCAGAGTTTGATTTGACAACTTTGCCACACAGCATGGTATACCAAGTACTGAGCTCCAATATTACAGTTATCTACTGAACTTTAACTGTGGCTAAATTGCTTAATTCTGATTTTTTGTAAAATCAGTTTTTTTTGTGTGTGGTCATTGTATGTAATCTGCTGTGTGAACTGCAAAGGACCTATAAGTGTACCAAATGCCCAGCAGAGGACATCATTACGTCACACATAGCGAACATGCTCAGTGGAAGTAAACATGGATGCTAATGTTGTAGCATATCTTGCGGTGTTAATGTTGTTGTCCATCTGAAGCCAGCACATTAAGAACTTGATCCTCATTATCGTCCATCATGTTTCTTGTTTCTCTTAACGTTTCCACATATCGGGACACAAAATAGCGACATTTATCAAGTATCAATGGCTTACAGGTTGGAACAATGTGTCTTGGTGTACAGCAGTGTGTGCATAGCATAACATGACTCAGTTTTGAGTGGAATGACTTCAGTATTAAATAATCTGTCTGAGTCGGGGGTTCCAATGTTGCATGATTTTATATGGAGTATTAGAATAGAAAGGGGCACAGCTAAATTTAATTGTACAGTATGGTTTCAGACAGCTCCCGGTGTGACAGCAGTCAAGACACTCAGCTCCTCACCAGTTGTGTTTGCTGTCGAAGAAGCGGACGAGGAAGAGTTTCTCTGCGGACCTGAACTGCATCTGCTCTCCGGCTCTGAGAACATCCAATGGTGGAATGGGGAGCTCCACCCTGCTGTGCTGACATGATGTCCTCCGAACTCTGGGATTCACAATCTGTAAAGACCCAGGACAGACTGTGAGCTAGAAGAGAAGGGGGCGTCACCCTTACAGATAGAACAATCTGCATTTCATGGTGAGAGACGAAGCTGCTCTGAAAACGCCCCACGACCAGAGACGAGCATGCAGGCCGGCCCAGAGCAGAACAAGCTGCTTACACACAGCCACGACACCAACCCAGCAGTTCACATCACAAGCTACAGCATGAAGAATGGCAGAGGGCAGATGGAACCAATGGGGCAGATGGGGCATGAGGTACGGACAGACTGACACACACACTCACCAGGGCAGGGTACCAGGGATATCCACTACATTTAGCCCAAACTAGTTTAAGAGGCTCCAGAACAAATGAAGAAGCAGCGGTGGGACTCCACACTTCTACAGGAACAACAACAAGCCAGTTATGAACAGGACACACTGTCTGCACAAACACACACACACTCAGCAATACACTGGCAGAGAGCTGAATCATACTGCTGTGTGTATGAAGAGGACAGACCAACTCCAGCCCTGTAAACATGGGGTGAGTGAGTGTGGAAGGGAGGGAGAAGGGGGCAAATGATTGTTTTTCTGGTTCAATTAGAAAAACAGATAAGTAAAAGACCAGAGAAATGCTGTTCCGTGCTCCTCTCCAGCTGCGCTGTAGAGCCGCACTGCCACACTCCCCTCCCCAGTGTGTCTCCTAGCCCCTTGCCTCACTCCCTTGCAGACCAAATGAAATCGATCTGTTCTTTGGGTTGGTTCACAGAGAAGGTGAGGAACCCAATGAGCTGCCTGAGAAAGCTTCCTGAAGAGACCAGTGCCCGGTCAGAGGGACCCTCCTGTCTACACATATCCCCCATCACCAGTGGGTCAGATGCAGGACCGGCGGCATGGGCAAGCACTGGGTGGCATTACACACCCACAGAGTCAAACATGAACTATAACTTGTTTTTTTTTTTTTTGTTGATGTTTATTTTAACCTCAAAGTGGACAACTTTCTATTATTCATACCTCGATTTGATACAGTAGGAGCTCTCACACTTCTCGTATTTGTGCTTGTTGTCACATGTACTTTTTTCAGTCATTCCAATTATTTCATCCATTGCTAAAATGTTGTAATGCGTTTTTCTGAGCCTCCTTTAAACGCAACATGATTGCCGGTTTTAAACCTGTGCAGCAGTGACAGAAACATGCTGCTGCTGTGCAGAGCAGCACAGATGTGTGTTAGAACCATGGCAGCAAACCAGCAAAAGGCAAATATCTTTGCACAGCACCCCTGCCTTCAAACTAACAGAGTGAATCAAGTAATGCTGATGGACACAGATAATGTTAGCTAAATAATGACTAGCTAAAGTCAATATAAGCTTGTCAACAAGGTTAGGCTACTGATTTTGTTATCTATGTTAAAAGGACCAATGTACTGATTACATTTACTTGAGCAGCGTTTAGGGAAAAACGGTTCTTATGAGTAGCTTTACTGCACTGCACTTTTTTTCTCTTTTGTTTGAGTAATTATTGCTACTCTTATTTAAGTAGATTAATTTTGCATTTATTTTACAGACTTCAGAGATTGGAAACATTAGATTCTTAGAATTTTGTAGCATACAAGTTAATGTTTATGCAAATTTGAGCACAACTACTGAACATTTTATACATGTCACTGTTTACATTCATATTATTTTGTATAAATAAACGTGGTTATTTTATTTGAAAGGTAAGATAAAGGTTTGTTTTTGCTTTTATATTAACGCAAAAGCTTATTTACTCAGCCCAACCCCCAAAACAGACCAGTGCCCCCCCTGCTAAAATCATCTGGAGTCAGGGCTAGCGAGATAGGGGGCTCCAATCTGACGCTTGGACCAATCTGAGGGCAGACTTATTTGTTTCAGCATTAATTGTCTTAATATTTTGGTCACTTAAAATGTATTTCTCCTTAAATCATACCGTGACAGATCAGATTCCAACTGAAAATGATTTCAGCAACCTTGTACCCTGTTACAATAATGTCACTATAACTAATCAAAAACATGTTGAATTACATTTAGAGTGGGGGGCTGGCACTCTTGGACACACATTATATAAACTGGTAAAGTTTCCTCCTGCCTATGATCTCCTCCATCTTGTTTTATTCATTATCTGCTCACACAGATCAAACCACAAACCAAAAGAAATATAACAGGAGCTATCCTGGTATCCTAGCAACAATTACAAAGGTAGCAGAGGGTGGGCTGGGGAAGTCAGTTTCAGCAAGGGAGCAGATACTTTTCTCACCTGAAGAAATCTTGGCAGTCTTTGTGAATAGCCCATTGTCAGCACTGGTCATTACAGAACTTTGGTCATCTTTGGTCTGTCTCGCCGCTGTAGGACGACCCTTCACACCTTTAGGCACCATAAAAGTGCTGGAAGAGATCAGATGAGGGCCACATTTAGAAAAACTGAAGAAATTAAGTTGGAGGATTATTGATCATGTCTCCAATCAAAACCCACCTGGAGTCACAGATGAAGTTGTTGCTAGATGATATGCTGGACTCTGAGGCGCATCGCCGCCGGGGCTCCAAAATGCGTGGAGACACAGAATCCAACTTCTCCTCCACCAAGCAGCCGTTGGTTAACCCTGAAACAGAAACACACTCATCACATGTCACTTGTCAGAAATATTGCAGTTGACATCAGCAATCTTTGTGCTTATGTGAAGCTCAACCTGTGCCAAGACGTTTGATCGGCGTCTCTTCCTCCTCTTTCTGTTCTTCCTCCTCGTCTTCAGTACTGCTGCTGTGGGACCTCTTCTTGGGGACCAGCAGGGTCTCCAGGCGAGGGATCACCACCGACAGGAACGTTTTGGCACCCAGTAGGGGTGGCGATGCAGCAGGCAGCTCTGGGGTCATAGGTGCTTTCTGGGGGCTGGCACTCTTGGACTTACGGAAGATGGTGCGCTGGGGGAAGCTACCTGATAATTCAGAGGGAAAGTTCCTGTTGAGCAGCATTTGATCTGGGCGGGGTTTGTTGGTGGGTTGAGGGGGATTTGAGGTAGAGGAGCTGGTGTTGTCATCAAGCTGCAAGGGAGCCTGCTCTGACAGGTGTGCAACAGGCTTCAGAGTGGGGGGCACTGAGCCACTTGGTGAGCCGTCAGGCTTAAATGAGGAGCTGAGCTGCTCTGAGGCCGGTAGAGGGACGGGAACTAATGGGCTTGCCAGACACAGCTTTTCCTCACACTGGCTGGGGCATTGTGGGAGATCCAGGGCAGGGGGTGATGGATGTGGAAAGAATTTCTTTAAGCCAATCTGGCTGCGGACCTCCGTGATGGCCTTCTTGAGGAGCTTGAGCCTCTTGGTGCGTGACGGGCTGTGCTTCATGGCCGTACTCAGGTCCAGCTTCTCCAGAAGCTCCTTCAGCTGCTCCTCCAGCTGCATGTGCTGACGGTATGAGGGTGCCAGGAGCCGGTCCACTGAGAAACAACAGCACAGCACCATCATAGTGTCTTCATCTCCCATAGCATTTGTTTATTCAGATGATAAATTCTGCTGAATTTGATTTAATGGTTTCAGTATGCATAAATGAAACAATTTTAAATTGTTTAACATTTAAATAAAATCTAGTAAGATTTTAAGGAGCTGGCAAGTTTACTTTGTAAAAGTTCAAAGAACAATATTCATAGTTGAATTGTTTTGTTACCATAGCTAAAATCTGATGCTGTGAGTTTATCTTTGAATTTGAGCTCTGTTCACAAAAACAAATTAGTAAACTGCAATTATAACTTATTGTTTTTTAGGTTGGCCAATTAAACTACTCCCCCTTCTTCCAGATTTTACTAAATCTAAACACAGAAGCTGTTAGAGGTGCTGATGTTTTTAGCAACAAAAGGGGCCCCTAAGTCAAATTCTGCTCCAGGCCTCAAGCAGCCTTGCACCGGCCCTGCATGATGAGTTCAGTCCGCTGCACTGTGCAGAAATGCGCAACAAACGAGAGATTTAATTCAATGCTGCTAATGTGGCGTTAGCAGCGCTTCCATTTTGTGTCTGTTGAGTTTTTAACAAGGGACACAGAAACTATTAGTCCAGTAAATGGGACAAGTTTCTCTGATCTCCACGCGCATAAACTCTGGCTGACTAAATACTCAGGTCCAGATTCTCAGGTCAAACCATAACAAACATTTGATATGGTTTGATTCATCTTATAACCGGAAAAATAATACTAAAAATAATACAAAACTGGCATGAGGCGTGACTGCGAGGTGAGTGCAAAAGCTCTTCACCTGGCTGAACCTGCATGATGAGTGATTAGCGCTGGTTCGTTAACCACAAATGCACCGGCCAAAGGTAGCACATACATAAACTTTATCAGCTTAAAGAGACACAGAGCCACACAATAGACAGCATATTGAAATGTAAAAGCCGCACAAAATTCTTTGTTCATAAATATAAATCATTCTCACTGTTCGCTCAACGTGTTCCTCTGAAAGCGCTGAGGTTAACTTAAGACATCCAGCTGTAGCATAATGTGAGGCAACATGGAGAGGCGCCTGGGGTGTGATTGGCCCAGCTTTCAGTGCATGAACTATAAACCTATCTTCTGTAAACATATCTTTTAGCTTTTAGGAATAAATTTGCTCTGCCAGTGAATCGCTCAGAGCAACAGAGACGCTTGCAATTTGGCTTAAAAAAAAAAAAAAACAATCAAGAAAGATTTAGCCTGGTGGTGGGGCCAGTGAAGCCTATTCACTGGGGGATACCCTGTATTGGATATTTTAAACTTTTTTTAAACAAATAAAAAACTGCAAAGTGGGGCGAGCAATATTATTCGGTCCCTTTCAGTGTAGCAAACTCATTCCAGAAGTTGTGAGGCTCTCTGAATGATTCAATGTTGTCTAAATCACTGATGATGATAAATAGAAACCACCTGTGTGTAATCAAGTCCTTGTATAAATGCACCTTCTCTGTGATAGTCACAGGATTGTGTTTAAAGTGCAGAGAGCAACATGAAGACCAAGGAACAGACTAGGCATGTCCGAAATGTTGTTGTGAAGAAGTTTAAAGCGGATTTGGATACAAAAAGGTTTCCCAAGCTTCAAACATCTCAAAGGAGCAAACTGCAAGCGATCATATTGAAATGGAGGGAGTTTCAGACCACTGCAAATCTACCAAGACCCGGCCGTCCCTCTAAACTTTCATCTAAAACAGGGGTATCAACATACAGTCCTCTAGAGCTGGTGTCCTGCAACTTTTAGATGTGCCTCTGCTGCACCACACCTGAATGGAATAATTAGGTCAATTAGCTAGGCTTTGGAGAACTGATCTACTCAAGGAGGTAATTAAGCCATTTCATTCCTGTGTTTTGTACCTGTGGCACATCGAAAAATTGCAGGACAGTGGCTCTCGAGAACTGGAGTTTGACACCCCTGATTGAGAACAAGAAGACTGATCAAAGATGCAGCCAAGAGGTCTATGATCACTCTGCAAAAATCTACAACTGAGATGGGAGTCTCTCCATAGGAGAACAATCAGTCCTTTATGGAAAAGTGGCAAGAAGAAAGCCATTTCACAAAGATATTTATAAAAAGTCTAATTTAAATTTTGCCACAAGCCATGTGGGAGACGCACCAAACACGTGGAAGAAGTTGCGTTCAACAGATGAAAACAAAATTGAACTTTTTAGCCACAATGCAAAATGATATGTCTGGTGTAGAAGCAACACAGTTCATTACTCTGAACACACCATTCTCACTGTCAAACATGGTGGTTGGCAGCATCATGGTTTGGGCCTGCTTTTCTTAAGCAGGGACAGGGAAAATGGTTAAAATTGATGGGAAAATGGGTGGAGCCAAAGTCTAGTTTGAGTCCAGAGCCTCACCTTGTCTAAACTGCTGGAGGGTTTAGACAGATCTAGTTACTCATATTTCTGATTCATGGCTCTCATCTTGAAGACATAGCTGTTTCTCATGTCAGCATGCTAAGCTGCTGACATGAGCTTCAGTGGGAATAGTTGTCCATGCATTAGATACTAGAGCTGTCCTTCCAGCATTCAGTGATCTCATGACTGTTACTGTGATTGGGCTAACCATAACTCCAGTGTGTGGGGGTTATGGTTAGTTCAGGCTCTCAACAACTGTCAGCAGATCCTTCACAATGAAAGTTGAGATGATAGTCTCCTTTTCAGCAGTTGGTTAGTGTGAAAGAGGGTTTCTGTTCTTTAATCTTAGATTTTTATTCTGTTCATTACAGGAATTTAAGATGGTCTGGTAGCTCTCTAAACTACTAGCGGGCATAGAAAGTGGACATGGCCTCTTTGTCCACCATCCATAAAATTGTTAAATGATTCTTGCCAACTTCTGCTTCACTCCTTTCCGGAAGCATTCACTCACCGTCCTCCCAGGAGAAAGGAGCTGGGGCCTCCAGCTGCGGGGCTTCTGGTAAGAGCAAGCAGCTGGGGAAGTTAAAGCCGATCCGATCCACCTCTCTGCGAGCTCTCCGTAGGATGACCCCTCCATGGTCCAGCAACCTCTGAGCCGCCTTGTAGAAGAACGTTTCCTTGGCATTGTATGTCATGCAGTTACTAATTATGAGGTTAAAGTCATCCTCAAACTCATCCAGGCTGCAGTAACTGTGAGAATCAATTCGTTTTCTCATAGTTGAGAAGTCCATAGGCCTTCTGATGTGCTCCAGGTAGTCTGGGACCTGCAGGGGCAAACAAGACACAACGAGGCTGAGAACATGTAGAACAGGCGTCTAAAACTCCAGTCCTACAGGGCCAGTGTCCTACTTCAATCTGCTTCAGCACACCTAGCTTCAACGTTAGCTCATTAGCAGAGATTTGTAGAGCAGGATTACATGCTAGAGATGGAGGTCAACCATTTAATTCCAATGTGTGGGGCAGGGGATAAATCTGAAAGTTGCAGGAGTCTGCAGTTTCAGACCGTTGCTCTAGAGCAGGGGTGTCAAACTCCAGTCCTCGAAGGCCACTGTCCTGCAGTTTTTTGATGTGCCACAGGTACAAAACACAGGAATGAAATGGCTTAATTACCTCCTCCTTGTGTAGATCAGTTCTCCAGAGCCTTGCTAATCACCTAATTATTCTATTCAGGTGTGGTGCAGCAGAGGCACATCTAAAAGTTGCAGGACACCGGCCCTCGAGGACTGGATGTTGACACCCCTGCTCTAGAGAGACTGTAAATGAATCTTTCAGACGGAACAGCCGTTAGATATGGATAGTTATTTCATTACAGTCTGTCAGAAGAATGATTAAGTGTTACAAACCTCCTTAATGCAGACAGGTTGTGCAAAGATGCTGTACTGGTCCTTGTCCTGCAGCTGACTGAGCACAACTCTCAGTAGGACATTGAAGGGAGTCAGTTGCAGCTCCAGCACCGACTGATGCAGCTTTATCTGCAGAGAGAATAACAGTGCATCTGCTCACAACAATCATTCATTGTTTGCTCATAAATCAGAGCAAACAAATACTTTTTATCCTCATAGTAGTTTTTTGCATTTTCTCACACTGGAGTTTTTTGTGACAGATCAACAAAGTATAACATAAAGGTCAAAAGAAAAGAAAATTAAATATCCTTTAAAGTGTGGAGACAAGCTGGAAAAGGGGCTTTTTCTGGGTTTTGTCTCCTCATCTAGAAAGACCAGATTTAGACAAGTGACATCAAAGAGCCAGATGTTGGTTGGTTATTGCAGGGGTTCCAGTCTGTCTATTTTCTTTTTATGAGGTATATAATGTCTATCTCTGAAGTAACTAGAAGTGCTTGTCTGGTTTGGCAATTACTCTATGACTGAAGCACTAGTTGCCAGGTAATGAGATCATGAATGGACTAAAGATGACCAGACTCAGTGGAGCTAATCAGTAGCACTTTTTTTTTATTCACAGGGTTTCAGAATAACGGAGTCAGATAAAAGGACAGAACATTTTCTAGATTTAAATCTGAGACAAATTGAATACTTGAGCAGATTTCATCAGAAAGTTGTTGAATAGTAAAGGAGCACTGAGACAGTGAGAGAGGAGTGACTGACTCTACCTCGTCTCTTTTCAGCTTCTCCCGCTTCCTTATGAGCTCCAGCAGCAGCCGGGTTCGCTCCAGGTCATGGCGCAGACGGTGCCACACTTTCAGCTGCTCCTTTAGAGCCTGATTTGTCTCCATACGCTCCTGAAGACATCACACAAGTTTTGTGATCAGTATTAGGAGGATATTGAAGCGTTGAGGGTATGAGTGTGATAGGCAGCATTGACCTTCTGCTGCTGAGCTTTAGAGGGTTGAGGGTTGGCCTGCAGACGGCGTATCAGAGGCACGTTATTCCTCGACTGCCTCTTCAGCATCCAGTAACTCAGCAGCCGCTCAACAAACTGCCGCTTCCTCTGAACTGCTACCTGGTTTAAAATGGCATCGAAACTGGACCAGACAGGAAGACACATTTACTAACAGAACACCTTAGACTGTGGACATTAGACACTTCTAATCTCAAACACTAGATTTGTCTAATTCTCACGACTGTGCTTCGAAAATGGTCTGGAAAAAATAAATAAATAAATAACGAGAGTCTGGGATCAATTACCTTGATGCAGTGATACTGGGCCCAGGGTTAGCTTGGGTGTCAGGTTCTAGTTCCGGTTCCGACTCTGCTTTTTTCATTTTTTTCTTCTGCCAGCTTTTGGAGTGAGGCTTCCCCCTCTTTTCTGCCCGCTTGTGACAGGCTCCGTTCTTGAGACGGAGCTCATCATAGACATTGAGAGGCCGCTGGTCGCAACCTTCGGGTGTGTGGCTACAGCAATAGGCGGTTTTCTTCACAGAAAAGGTGGTTGTGCCAGACTCAGTGAGCTCTTTGACGGGCTCCATCCTCATGTAGAGGCCTGCCTTCTGGGCACAGCTGACATGGAAGGCAGTATAACAGTTGATCTTGTCACATTGGATGCAGGCCCCAGCACCCTTGGCCTTGCACAGGTAGCATGTGAGTTTCCAGCGGGCCGGGGGGATGTTGCAGACGCCATCAATGGGCTCGATGAAAACTGTATCAGAGAAGCCAACCTCGGGGACCCACATGGCACAAACCACGTGGCCCCAGCGATCATCATCTGTTTTTTTCAGAGCTCCTCCACGATTCGGGCAGAAGAGGCACTCTGCTGGCCTTGATGGACGCTGTAGACAATGACGGCACAGCCACTGACCCTCTGGGATGTACGGCACGCCATAGCACTCCTGGTGCACAGCGATGTTGCATGAGTCACAGAAGAGAATGACATTGCTGTCAGCTCCATCTCCATCCATGCAGATGCAGCAAACAGCATCTTCATCCACCAGTGACTGTAGGTCACTCTGGCCCTGTGTAGCCAAGAACAACTCTTTCTCAAAGCGGTCCATGAGGAACTCAAAGAGATTGTGTGACACCTGGCCGATGCCCTCACTCTTCCTCTTCTCGTTAATGATCTCCAGCCAGGCATAGTCCTCCTCGTCCATGTCGTACTCCACTTCCTCATCCAGCTCCTCGGTTGTCCTCTCAGAGTATTTGTAATACATGACCGGCCTTTTTGGCACCACCGGCAAATTGTACTCCACCATCCTGACCTTTGGCTCTAGGAGGCTGCTCAAGCTGCTGCCATGTGAAGCAGTGAGAGCTCCACTCTTCTTCTGCTGGTTCATTTTGAGGCGTACAGAGCGAACCAGAACCTGCTGGGGCTTCTCGTTGTTTTCTTTGTTGCTATTGCACTCCAGGATCTCCTGAGCCGTAGGGTCGTCGTCAGCGATGACATCCAGCTTGTCGTAGATGCTGAGCCGGTGCACTCGGCCATCCACTTCCAGCTCTACAATTCGCTGAGCTTGTGCGTATGTGAGAGTCTCTCTGTTTGGGGAGGGCTTGATAGGAGAAGACTCCCTCTTTAGCGTGATAGAGCGACGATTTTTGCATTTTTTCTTCATGATGAAGATATCAGGATTCTGTCAAGGAGAGAGGAAGTAACTATCAATGACTTACTGATGTAATGGTAAGTTAGAAAAGTGAAGAACATCACTTGTGGATCATTAGCAAGCTTTCTGGAGCAACAGCAGGAAAGTTTGGACTGTTACAACTAAATATGACACAATGACCAACTCAAATCAAATGTAACTTTACTTACACCATCAGATGACATCTGAAATGAGAATATGTTTTCAGAAACCTTTTACCTCTTTTAGCCACCCAACATGCAAACTTTAGCCAGATGCTACAGGTTTTAAGTAAGATTCTTTCATCGACACACCTCCCAAGCTATTCCACATTTGTCACATTAACACAGAAACGTCAATGTGTTTAAGTGAGTTTGTGTGCCAGATCAACATCAAACATCATACTCTTGAAGTGATGCATGATTTTCTGAAATTTTTCAAAATAAGGTGGGACATGAAATGCATTCATTTGTATTCAGTATCTCCCTGAGTCCATTTACATTTTCTAGTATTTCAGGAATGTCTTCATCAGTCTGACTAAAACCTTTTACAGAAGAACACCCATTAGAACAATGTTCAACTCTCTTATGCGTTCTTTCGTCTATGAGTTACTGAGGAGCAGATTGTTCTCCCTGCACCACCCAGCAGCCACTCCACCTCACCCTGTAGGCCGACTCATCTTGCTTCCTTGGTAATAGCAAAATACAGAGGTAGCGAAAAGCGTTAATTTCCTCCACTCAGGTTGAACCCAACACACAGGACACCAAAGTGACAACAGTGACAAAAGTTTTAAAATGATCAACTTTCTTGTGTCGAGTCGCTACACAAAAAAAGTTGTGCATGTCTGCATGTATGAGCTAGTCATTTTGCATGCACAAATTATGCTATACGAATTAAGCTTCATAGAAAATGAATGGAGAGGGAGCAGTGTTGTCTTCCTTCAAAATTACTTCAGCTATCTGCTGAGTTAATGGTGGTAGGTGGGCTCCTACCATAGAGTGTAGCATAAAGCCCAATGCCGGAGCCAGGGAAACGCTGGTTTAAAAGCGGAACATTTCACCTGCATTCTGGCAGTGCTTTAGATTCAAAGTGAATGATCATGGCGAGCCACTGGACCCGTGGAGGCACTATTTTGTAAAATAGTGCCAACTAAACAATAAATCTAACATATGTGCACTTAAAATGTAACGTTGCATTTTAGATGCATTGATGAATGCTGGTTTCCTTGCTTGGGGACCGCCAAATTGACAGACAACAATCACTGAGGTACAGTTGTGGTTTCTAATCTGGATGACATCCAGATTATTAAGTCTGTATTGTATATTAGCCTTCAGTAATAATTAGATTTAAATAGAGATGACATCCGACTGCCTGATGCAATAGTTCAAACTGCAGGATTTTTTATCCCAAATTAAACGTTATTCGTTCTAAAATTGTCACTTGTGTTGTGTGTTACGGTAGATCGTCGTGGCCGCTCCGATCTAAATCAAGGATTTATCCAGACTGGAGGAGTGACGCAGCCTGTTGAATGTGACCGGTAGCCAACCAGAAAGCGCGGATTCTCCTCCTGCTTTCTGAGGGGAAACACAGAGGGAATCCCGAACAGCTGACACGGTGCAACCCGAAGTCCAGCAGACATCGGAAACAACATGAATGTTTACTCAACAGTTCGTGCAAAGAAAAGATAAATAACTAGGGGAGGAGTTGGAGCGAAATTTCTACCAGAAAACCCGGTAACTTTTCAGCTGTTCTTCGTTAACGTGACATAAATAGGTTCTAATGATTTTCATTCAGTCAGGACTGACACCAGCTACATGCATTGAAGGTAGATTGTAGTAAGGAATTGATTAATACCTGGTTTTAAAATTTGTGAACTGGACTTATTATTTTGTGTCCATTGTTGGACACCACAGGGTTCGATTGAACCGTTATACTGAGGATTTCTGTTGGCTAATGTGTGATCTCCCAGGTTTTGATAATGGGCCGACAATTGGCGATATAAGATCGTGCAGTGCAATCTGGGCATTACACTAAGGAAATAAGGAAGGGAGAGTCAGTGGAGAGCACCGGAGTTGAGCCTTTTTTCATTTAGTGTCATCAACAGTAAAAGAAAAAGGCCGGAAGAAACGATATAGCCGATAATTGAAATGAGGTCGATAGTTTTAATTTATCGTGCGATTAATTGATTTATCGTTTATCGTGACAGGCCTAAAACCAACCAACCAACTATGAGCAATCATATCTCCCACTCCCCCTACCTATGATGGCACTGCACCAAGAAACACTGGAGGAAATGAAACTAATAGCTTGGAAGAAACCACTGAGCGCAACTTCCTTCAAAAATGTTGCTTTTTTTGAAGGAAGCGGTCAGCTTTGAGCTGTTGGACGATTTTGTTTTTTCCTCTCCATCATAGTTTGATTACACATTTACACCTCCCCAAACGAACTGATCTGAAGTTTGATTAAAGCGGACTAAGCAGGGCTTGTGGGAATGATGCACCTAAGAGTCAGAATAGACGCAATTGTTCAATTAGCTACTATTTACTGCAGTCCAAACAGTATATATTAGGGCTGAAACGATTCCTCGAATGATTCGAGTTCCTTGATGATTAAAATTCACTGAGGAAAATTTACCTGCCTCGAAGCTTCATTAATTTATGTTTTATTATTTAGTGCATTGTGTTCTGACCGGAACATTATTTGCGTTGCGCGAAGCTCTGACTTCTGCCTCTGAGTTGTTGAAGAAAGTTAAGTGTTGGCATCATAATGTCCAATTTTCAAGTTCGCCCCGTGGGGATTTTGTAGATTGATGATAATGCCCGGGTTTTGTCGTTTTGGAGGTACCAATAGACATCCTTACAATGAATGGTGCGATGCCTGGAGTACTGCAGCCTTTCTCCTCCAGGAGCTGCTGGTTCAGAGTAAACGGCGGAAAGAGCAATGCAGGAGTATTTATACAGGTAAGCAGATAGACTGAACATGGCAGGCGAGTAGTTGATGCTTGTAGTGTAAGTGTAGGTTTATGGATGAACCGCACAATAAATTTCATATCACTCAGGTCTGAACAAATAATAAATGGGTGGCAGAGCACATTGTGGCGGTACATGGTTGGTCAATGAGTTTCTGAGTGTTGACGAGCGAAGGTGCCGTAAATATCCTTTTTGCTCCCCCCTGCCCACATGCTGCTGTCCCCTGGTCTACTCCCTCTTCTCCACCTCCCATCTTACGTTTGTTCGTTCACCTGCCCACAACCCTAAGCCCCCAACTCCAGGCGCCATTTCACGTACACTATTCGCAAACCCACAGCTTGACAGGTATGGGGTAAGGTGAGAATTCATCTATTAAACTGACTGAAGATGAATACATAAACTAACAGCTGGAGTTTAGACATTTTCGTCACTGTATTTGTGGGCCTTTGAAACCTACACAAAATAATCAACCAGTATTTTATTTTGGCAGGTCAAACTGAAGGCACACTTTAAGATCAGGGTCAGAGGTGAACTCAGATCTCCTCCATTGCTGTTGCTGCTGTCACTGTGGCTAGTTGCCTGAGTTGGCGGTTTCCAAAATCGCTGAAGAATTTTGCTGAATCAAGCCAAATTAACACAGCTGAAGGATTATATTGGGTGTTTTTCTGGCAACCACTCGACGATCTGGTTTTTTCCACCGTTTCAACCCAGGATGGCAAGCTGCCGAATTGCCGCAGCTTTGTGGTAAGACTTCACTGAACCAAACCACTTTATTTTTCCAGACCCATTGCCTTGGATCATGGACTAAAAACAGACATATTTTTTGATTGATGCATATAAAAGAAAGGACTTCAATAAGAGAAAAAACTCTTTGGTGTCATCAGGGTTTTTTTTTTTTATATTGTTGTCTTCCTGTTGTGTTTATTGTTTATACTTACAGGAAAATATTATTATTATTGAATAAATAAAATCATTTTCTTCAAGGATTGTCTAGAATACCACAACACAACAAATTAAACTTTGGACACACATACTCTACTTCAAGACTTTCTGAAATCCAGTCCTCGAAGGCCGACCTACAGCAACTTTTAGATGTGTCGCTTGGTACAACACATTTTTATCTAATGAATGGTGTGTTGCCTTTGCAGAGCTGAAAGACTGTTGGTGAGGAAAATCAGCCATTTGATTCAGTTGTGTTAGAGCAGGAATGCATTTAAAAGTTGTAGGATGGTAGATCTTGAGAACTGAACATGGGCACCCCTCCAGTAAGTGGTTGGCCTGGCAATAATTCATGACAACAGTAACCAAAACACAAAGCAGGCTGCTGCAAACATTACGCTGGATCTGTGGCTATGAGCTAATCTCAAGGAGGATGTTTTCACAATGTCTTTTTTTTTGACATGTCTTAATGTTCCAGTATTTTCCATTTCAAAAATCAAAATGAAATTTACAAACAAGTTGTTTAATGAGAAAAATCCAGATTAGTTCATTCTTGTGTGCAACTGTGATATTAGGCTTATTAGGCTGTAAAAATGTAATTATGTTTCAGTTTGAGTTGTTCCATATAACCTATGCAGAATTTCTAATAGTTTGATATTTAAGATCAACCTGGTTGTGTACACATTTAAAAGTTTGCTTTATTTAATACAGCAGGAAAAGAAAACAAGTTGGTATCTCCAGTGACCGGATGCTGGTAGTTGCAGCATTACCACACTGTGTTTCCAGCCATGTGTTGAACAGCGCTCTGCACAGGGTACAAATACAACACGGAAGCACACGTGGCTTCTAAAAACTTCCACACCTCTTCCGCTTTAAATGTGCCTCTCCCAGGACTTCCTACACCTTTAATTGAATGAATAAACAAGCCTTGGTTGACTTCAAACGAAACGTTCATTGGATGAATGAAAGCCAAGCAACTAGGAGCAGCCGGACTCCAGATCCTCTTAAGGAGACCTTCCTACTGGTTCCGGAGCCCTTGCTGAAGCCGTTCTCTGCTAATTGTTGCGAAATAACGTTAACCCAAGTTGACCCGGACGTAACCTCGAATAAATAAAGTGTTGAAAACAATATCTAGAATGTGTCATCGCTGCGATAAGATAGACATGCCTCAAGATTACCAGTCAGGACCACCTGGTCATGCCCTCCAGACAGTCCGTGGCCTCTCTGCACGCCAGCTGAAAACATAAGGACATTCCGTCCAGGAATCAGGCTAACTTTACCATGCTAGCACAGGGGAGAGGAAATATGGCGACACAACAAGATATTGACTCCACTGAAATGGTTTCTTTACTGAAGAATGCGACTTTTTATTTTTATTTTCACAAATTACCAGTGAAGACGTGGTAAATTAACGAAGGAAAACCTACCTTTGTGTTTTCACGAGCGCAATTTATAGAAACGGTAGCAATGGCGTCGCGGCCTGTAGATAACAGAGGCAGAGAAATCCACAGTCGGGCCGTTCCATCCAAGGGCAGTCGTGGCTCTAGCTGAACCGAGTGGAAGTGACTGACTGGTATCCAGGGCGACGAAGATTGTTCCTGTGGTTTTACGTAGGTATGGGAATAACTACTGACCGTTTGGACAACGAAATAGAAGTAGGAAGTGGCACAGCTAAGCGGCAGATAGGGATTCTCTTCCCCCACAATAATGCTATAAGTCGCCACGTACTTACGTCATCACGTAAGTACTTACGCCAGGAAGTCTTTTCTCGGAAGGCGAGAGAAAAACAGTACATCCAGAGCTGAAAACATTTATATTTTTATTTGTTGAATACTGAGCTAAAACATTCTTATAATTCACAAATACACAAATTGACATCCGCAAATGCACAGAACATACACATGATGCAAACACAAATACATCTTGATTTACAAGCTGCATTTTTATGTGAATTTTGAGACTCCCCTGACGTCTTCTTCTTTCTGATTTTTACTGGTGGGTGACATCTAACGTTAAGATGTATTATCGCCATCTACTATGCTGGAGTGTGGACCAGAGTATCTCCCTTTAATCGAAATAATCCAATTTCCTTAAAAAATGTAACAACTGCTTCATTTATTTTGTTTAATTAATATCTTAATAAGTTTTGATGTCTATATCATATTTTTTAATTTCTTGTTTTAACTACTCTCCACTTACTGCATATTTTTCAAAATTAATTATTACATGTTGTACTGTTTCCGTATCCATTCCACACAACTACCTCCTGGATGTTTACCTAACCAATGTAAAGTCTTATTTAATTCAGTATGTCCGAGCCGCAAATTTGTCATCACTACTTATTCTTTTCAATTTTCTCCTATTATTTCCATATTCCCTACTTTCTTTTGTATATGAAATAAATGACGACCTTTAGTTCCTTCCTCCCACAATTGTTGCCATTCAGATTTAATTTTGCTCTTAATAATTGATTTTATTTCAGATTTACAATACGCTATTTCCGTAATTCTACTTTGTTTTAAAGACACCTTAGCAAAATGATCTGCCATATCATTCCCTTCGATATGAGCAAGCATCCACATAAACCCAATCTTTATTTATTTAGAGTTTGTGTCAATCTAAATATAACTTCATAAATGTCATATACCAACTCCATACAACTTTCAGATGAAACATTTAAAATAGACATTAGTGATGATACAAAATCTGAACATATAAGAACTTTTTCAATTTTATTTTGCTCTGTCCACTGTAAGGCCATCAGTATCACTAACATTTCCACTGTATACACAGCTAAATGGTCAAATGTTTTTTGTTTCATAAATACACCTCGTTCAGGACTTGCTAAGCAAATCCTGTTTTATTTGAAACTAAATCTTTTGAATCATTTGTATATATAATTGTAAAGGATTTATAAATATGCATTCTTAATTATGTCATTTACCCAGTTATTATCTTTATTAACCTGCATTTCTTTGTAAACCTCAAGATCAACATTCACATATGGAAACAACCAAAAAGATGTAATTGGATAAGGCACCGCAGCACAGTTTCTCTTTCCCTGTATACCTATTTCCCTAATGCATTATCTGATGCCCATACAAAGCAGTCTATTTTCGCTTTTCCACTCTCCCAGCAAAGTCTCAGGATTCTTACTGCTGGATTATTCTCCTCCTTATGTCCCTCCAAACTCACCCAATAATTCAGCATCTTTTGCCTTTGTCTTAAATATAGAGGAATATCCCCCATTTTCACCTGCACTGCCAAAGATGGAGATGTCTTCGAAGCTTGATTCTGAATTACTTCTAATTTACAAATCACTGTTTTCACAACCTGCCTAAAAACTAGGCAGGCCGTAATCCAACACTGATCTTATTAACGCAACATACATCTTTTTTAAATTAATTTTATTTGTACCCCAATATAATCCTGTTAAACACCTCATTAATAACTTTTCATTTCCCTTCTATATACTTTACATGATCACCCCATAAAAGCTTGGAATCAAAGATGATTCCTAAAAAACAAAATGTACTTACTTTTTCTATTTTTTTCTCCATACATTTTTAAATCAATTTCCTAAATTTTCATCCTATTGAATACAACAGTCTTTGTTCGACCTACTGAGAATTTAACTTCCCAGTTATAAGCCCAATTTTCAATAGATTTAATAGCATTTTGTATTTTCTCAAACACTAATCTTACATTTTTCCCTTTCCTTCACAAGGCTCCATCGTCAGCAAATAATGACTGCATGACATCCTGATCTACTTCTGCAGAAACATCATTAATCATGGCTGAAAATAATGAAGGACTGATAATACTTCCCTGTGGAGTTCCATTATCAGTTTTATATTTATATGATCTTGTTACTCCCATCTTTACCTGTATAACTCTATTAAACAAAAAAATCTTTAATCCAATTATAAGCCCTTCCTGTAATCCCAATTTTATATAATTTTATAAGCACCCCATCCTTCCATTCCATGTTATTTGCTTTCTCAATATCAAAAAATATTGCTATCCCTACTTCCCTATTAATTTGAGCTTTTCTAATACTCTTGTCTGCTCCCGCCTGAATTTCCCATGTTCTGTTATATTATCTGAACTATGGATCTTTGCAAATGTTCTTGCCATTACTTCTACTTTCTCTTCATTTGATACTGCTGTTCCTTCTTCATGTTTTAGAATTTTTAAAGCAATTGTGTTGGCTCAACTTAATTTATCAAGGTTATTGCAATTTAAAGCAATTGTGTTGGCTCAACTTAACTTTTAAGGTTGATTCAACTCATTTACTATAGTTTGGACCCAATGTAATTTGATAGAGCAAGCCCAAGTACTTTACAATTTATAAAGTCAAATTATATTGCACCAAATTAAATAACTTTACTTGATTAAGATGAAGGCAAATTTATTTGAAACCACCTCATTTTACAGTGGTACCTTCACACTACTTAAGTTGATTCAACTCATGAAAATTAAGTTAGCTAAACAAACATGCTTCGTGCTGAAAGAAAGCCATTTAATCGTGTGTAAATCCTTTCCATGATTGAATTACGTTATTCCAAAGACATTTTTTAAGTGGTATTAACTGAAGTGCTGTAAAACAGCACTGGATGAAAGGGTAGAACACTCAACAATTAGAGAAGGTAAAACAGAACTGTATTTTCAAAATTGTTATCCATTTTCTCTTACATGTGCAGTGCAGGCACTTTACTACAAAAACTCTTGCCATATGGCAACCCATTAGAACATGCTTTTAAGCTAGTTGAAATTAATAGTTTAAACAAAGCCTTTAAAGTCAGTGTTCAATTAGTAACAAGAAACTTCAAAATAGTTCAGCCTACCACACACTGTAATGGGGAATGATTAAATAAGTAATTTTCAAATTTACAGTAACTTAGTAGCAGCAGTAGTTCATTAAACTGCATACTTTGCTAGCTTTTAAAAGTTTAAATGTGAACTTGCAATTTAATTTACCAAACTCTCAAAAAATGTTTTTTCTTCTAATTTAAAAAAAATATACAAGTACATTTTAAAATTACTTGATTTTATTGTCAATTTAAATCTGACCAACTGAAGCAAAACAAAATATAGTATTTTGCAACAGCAATATTTGCTTGTTACACAGAAGTCAAAGCATTGCAACCAAAATGAAAAATACTCTGATCTCAAAACATAACTGATACATTTGGTAAATGGACTGAACTTATATAGCGCTTTTCCAGCCATTTTGACCACTCAAAGCACTTTACACTAGTCACATCCACCCACTCACAAACGCACACACATTCATACACCGATATGCAGACTGGTAGGCAATTTGGGGTTAAGTGCCTTGCACAGAGGCACATCGACATGTGGAAGGAGGAAGCTGGAATCGACCTTCCGATTGCAAGATGACAACCCTGCCACACAGCCACAGTCGCCCATTTACAAGCATGGTATTACATTGAATGCAATGAATTAAATAATCTTTAATAAAACAAAAGTACCCAAATGTCAAAGTTTCCAAACTGCATTTATGTCAGTTAAAGACAGACAGGGTGAAAAGGACAGATTTAGTGGACAGAAACTTTGAACCTTCCTTCATAGTAGCTATCCTCCTGTCTGTTTGTTAGAAATGGACAGGACAGATACAGAGAGACAGGCAGAGAAAAAGAAAGACAGGGAAAGAGATGGAGTAAAAGAACTGATTGTGTGTAAATGTGTAATTTTGCCATTTTAAAAGATCCACTGGTAGTCCAAGAAGGAGGAGAATGGAGACCTGCGGGTTCACTGCTGAGACATAAGTCGTCCTGTTGGTTTTGAGGTTTAAAAGACCATTCTTCCTTGGTGACTCCAAGTACTGGGCTCTGCACGAGACACAGATAATATGTCAATTTCTTGGGGGCATCCACTCCAAACCTTGAGTTGTCATAGATGTATATCGGGGTCTCGCATATAACGCATGTTCCGCTTGTCAATATTTCTCTTTTATCCACAGTTTTTGAGACAAATGCATCAGGCAAAGAAGGTGAGCTCACAGGGCCCAAATCCGGTTTCACTGCTGTCATATACAACAGCAGGTTCTTCTTCTTCAGCACTTATTCCACTAATGAATAAGTATTCATTAGCGGAGTTGACTTCATCAAAGCAAATGTGTTGGGGCTAGCTAACTCCGAATCTGAATCACTGTGTAGACAGACAACAATCCACTAACCTACATCCTGTCCAAAGCTCGGCTGGACACGTATGAGCAGAGGTGGATTGGTAAGTTGGCACGATTCCAGTTTGACATTGTTGAAATAATATTTTAAATTAGCACAATACTGCACAGGATAGTTTTGATACATATGAAATATACCATAGAAAGTTAAAGTACACTCTACATTCACATAAATTTAGATAAAGATCCAAACTAAAACAACTGCTGAATCTCTGAACTTATATAAATTCTTAGGGAGGATTCTACAGAAAAGACAGGCCTAGAATCTCTTTAGACAGAGAGTCTGTCTGCCAGGCAATTAACAAATTCCTTAGCATGGTTCAAAAGTTCACTAGGATCTTAAAACTTTATATAAATAATTTTATCTATATTAGAATTAAATATATTTCTTTAAGCATGTTTTGAATTAGTTACTTCTTAGATCCAAACTTATAGTCATTATTTAGCATTACATTTTGTGCAAGCTTGGTTAAAAATACAAACTACTTTCTTGTTGAAGCATCTTGAGGCAGAGATAACGTTCCAGTTCCACGCTGTAAATCAGGTCGGAGCCTGGTACGGAGGTTGGGTCTCAGAGGTAATAAAATTAACATTAAGACAGCCCACACAAAGGAAAAGAACACACCTCCTAATGCATATATTTAAATGAGGAGAATATGCAGTCTATAAAAAATGGTTTGTTTCACAACAGAAGTTGGAATCTCTTTGTGCTGAGTGAGAGTTTCCCGGAGGATGCATCTTCTGTTATTCTTTCGTCTTTTTTTACTCAGTTCTTTGTCTCTGTTTTGTAATGTCTTGGACTTTTGATATTCTAGGTGAGATGCTTATTGTAACATTCTTCTTGCATTGATTTTCTCTGGATAAAACTATGAATATCTGAAGTCTGACGTCGTATGATTGCTCTTTTCTCTCTGCACACTTACACAGACACAGGAATTCGGGACAAAGAATTAATTAAAGAGCTAAATCAAGTTATTCCTCTTTTTAATTCTTAACAACATCAAGTACATCCCTGGATCAAAGAATGTGGTGGCTGACGCCCTAAGCAGAGAGCCCTTCAAACAGGCTAGTACATCTCAACCTTTGACGAGAGTGCCTTATGACGAGCTGCTGGCAGAGGCCGCAGTGGTTGATGCTAATAGAATCCAGAAGGTGTTTAGCTAGTCAGCCAACCCCCCTGAATATGTGAGTGTGACCCACAGATATGTCAGGGTGTGGCGGTTGTTAAGACAGGAGCAGTATCACTAGAGGTTGCTGCTGTACTCTAGGGATGCAGTGAAAATGGTCCTGTGGTGTGCCCTCATGCTCTTCTCCTGCCACCGTTCTCACAGACTGTTCTGAAAACCCCACAGCTCAACTCGGAGGTGCTCTCACTTAAAGTGTTGCAGGACAGGCAGAGAAATGACCTGGTTCTTTGTAGAAAGAAAATGGAGACCTTCCAGGAGGGAACATGTCAAGGAGTCGTCAGAAGTCCTCAAGCTTTTGAAAGGCTGGGAAAAGTTTGCATTGAGAGATGGAGTTCTGTACTGGGTAGCTAAAAACCCTTTCACAATAAGTCCTACCTTTTTGTTGTCCCCCGCTCACTGCATCAGAAGGTGTTACAAGGCGTTCATAATGAGGCTGGTCACCAGGGTCAGCAACGGACTCTGTACCTGACAAGACACAGGTTTTATTGGCTTGGCCTAGTGCACAATGTTACTGAGTATGTAAAACACTGCAGACGGTGTGTTGTCAGCAAGTCACCAGAGCCAGAAGCAAGAGCTCCTTTGACTGAACCTCTGGAACTTGTCAGTATTGATTCTGGACTGCTGAGGATTCTTCAAACCGTTCACTGGATGTGCTCGTAGTTACTGACCACTTCACAAAGATGGCACATGCGTTCTTGTGCCCCAATCAGTCAGCTAAACAGTCGCACACCAGCTGTGGAACAACTATTTCTGCATCTATGGGTTTCCCAAGCGACTGCATTCTGATCAGGGGGCCAGTTTTGAGAGTTTGTTTATTACAGAGTTGCTGAATGTGGCGGGCGTGCAAAAGTCCTACACTTTGCCTTATCACCCTATGCGGAATGGCTTGTGTGAGAGAATGAAACGGACTCTAGGCAACATGATTCAAACTAAACATCATTGGCCTCAGACCCCGAAATCTCTGACATTTGCCTACAATTGTACAGTGCATGAGATGACAGGATATGCACCGTTCCTGCTCATGTTTGGGAGGGTGCAACATCTTCCGGCGGACATCATCTTTGGCTCAGTACTCAGTGATTCGGAGGTGGTGGACTATGATTGCTATGTTGAGTCCCTGCAAAGGAACATGAGAGAGGCTATGGCTGTAGCTTAGTCAACAGCAATTAAACAGCTCCAGCGTCACACTGAGCTATACAACCGGAGAGTTCATGGAGTACCAGTGGAAGTGAACGACAGAGTGCTGCTGGCCAACAAAGGAGAACGTGGAAAAAGGAAGCTTGCTGACCGCTGGGATAGAACGGTGTATGTGGTGGTTGGAAAGAATGATGAGAGCCACACCTTCAGGATCCAGAATCCCAGTGCAGGCCAAGTAAAAGTGGTCTACCGCAACCTGATAATGTCAATAAACTTTCTGCCTTTACCTCAGGATTACCAGGAGGAGGCTGTTCTGTCTCTGGCATCAAATTCACTTAACCTAAGTGTTGGGTGGTCACCAACCAGTGATGTTATTTCTATCTCAGCTGAGTTTAGAACAAGAGCGTGGATATCTGACCTACCTTTGGGAGCAAGCAGCGAGACAGATGCAGAAGATGGGCACTGTGCTGGAGGGAGCCACGGAACCTACTAATGCCCTATCAGAGGGCAGGGTGTTGCCTTTAGCCCAGCCAGTCCTTGATCAGTTACAACCCTCTGATGGAGCTATTTTGATGGATAGCAGTTCAGCAGATTCCAGTTGCACAGCAGTCCAAATGGCTTGCCCAGAGACTTCTCTGACTCCTATTACTGACACTCTTACTCATGTATCTGCTACTAGCACTGCTACAATGGCAGTAGTTGATGATGCTACTGTCTGTAGAGCTAGAGCTGGGCTGTTGTTAAAACCAGTGACTAGACTTATTGAAATGATGCATTATGTGTTTAAATTTTGACCTTGATGTTTTGTAACAATTTTAATATTTCATGTCTGTTTTGCTATTTGGGAGGTGCATTTGCAGTTGCATATTAACAAAATATGTAAATGGGGCATTTTTTTCACCCTATGTATGTAGGTAGGGTTTGGCTAACCTTTTCTCATACTGATCCCCATGGAATAGTCTAAGTGACTGGATATTTGTAACTGTGAATTGGATGTGATTGTACTTCACAAGCGACTTTGGAAACAGTGGTTGTGTATTGCTTTCCTGTACATTTGAATAGTGGTCTTAGTCCAATTTGTGCTTTTGTACCTGGACCTTGCCCATTGACACTGTACTTTTTTTCTCTTTCTCTTTCTTGATTTTTTTTCTATTGTTGTTTAGTTTTGTTTGTTGTAATGGGGCAAGTGGAATTCGGCAGGAGGGAGTGTAACATAGACGTTGTATAAAATTCCACTTGTCATTACTTCCAAGTTTGGGTTCATGTGTAATGGGTGAAACAGCAACCCCTCCTGGTGGTTGGCAGCGTTAAATATAGTGAAGCCAGTTCATGAGAGATGAGTGCGAGGTAGATTCACTGAGAACATTGTAACGGTCCTGTAAAATATTTTGTTAGTTTGATGCTAATACAAAATAATATTCCTTGTAAGGTGCTGTACTGCCTGTGATGAACCTGGTCCCTGATTATCTATATTCTGTTTCATACAGGTACATATTGTTTTATTTATTGTTTTTTTTTTTTTGTATTTCTGTCTAATGTTAATGTATAAAATACGGCTGTTGGCCAGTTCATGAGAGATGGGCGCGAGGTGCTGTACTGCCTGTGATGAACCTGGTTTCTGATTATTTTATATTCTGTTTCATACAGATAAACCACATTTTGTCTCATCCTGTTTCCTGGTCTTGTATTCACACAACGGAGAGCTGATGATAAGCCATTATAATTAAAAAGGTTACATTAGCAGAATCCGCTTAAGCAATCGACCCAGAATTTCTTGGTCCAACTTCCAGCAGAACTTTAAAAAGGCCTGGTTTAATAACCAACAAGGCATAACAAAAGTTCTTTTAACTCTGCTCTGAATAAAGCAATGTACTCACCAATGTACTGATACCAATCCTGGAGTTCTGTTCCCTCTCCAGACATCAATAAGAACTATGAGTTATTTGTGTTTATCAGCACAGCCAGCTTGATTCCTATACTGAAAAAAGGAACATGCTTCACCCACAACAGCTCTTCCATTACTTCCACGGGTTTTGAACATAAAACTACTTTAGCTTTTAGTTTCAATGAAATTAAATTATCTTACAAATATCTCTCATAGAAAATAAAATACATTTTGACTGACCAAGTCTAGTTGAGTTCAGTAACATAACACTCCGAACGCAGTTGGTTTAAAAATTGCAGAAAGCTCCTCCTCCAAAAATGGGGAAAGTTTCCAGACAGCAGGTAGACTTTAATTGACAATTTTCTTTTATTTTTATTCATGCTGGAAAAAGAGACAGTGTTTCCCATTCTGATGTGGGGATGTCACCAAAAGATCCTCCCACACCAGTCCAGGCACCTACAACACCTGTTGATAGAGCTAATGTTATTGCTGAAATAATACCATGGTTGAAAGATGTGGAGAGATCCGTAAAAATGGTTAATGCTTTGCCAGTCTTGAGACAGTGGTTTGAAAACTTATCTCTGTAATTTGCATGTAGGTATGAGTGTGTGTAGTATTTTAACTGCCTCTCATCCAATCACTGCTTGAGATGGAAACAAGGACCCTAGCCACTGTGTGTGGATAAGCAGGTCCAAGTGATGGATGAAGGTTGGGATGCAAACCTTGTTTGTGCCTTTAGATGATGTTCAGTGTATACAGCGCTCTATAACTAAAAGTTAACACTCGAAATAAAGATTTCAATGTTTAAACTCAACAATGGATTTTGCTGCAATATTTACTATATTCAATTCAGTTTACATAGCACAAATTCATGTAATCTTAAGACACTCTTCAAAAAAAGTCAATTCAATCCAATCATACACACATTCCAACTGATTCTAGTTATCAATCCAATGCAGTAAAGTTCAGTTCATTATTTAAATCTGTAAAAAAAAAAAAAAAAAACAACTTCATCTCTGGAAATCCAGCAAATTGCTTTGAGTTATTGACTTGCAACATTCAGATCTCCCACATTTTCCTCTAAAAAAGTTCTTGAGTAAAAAACGACATCATTATTATAAATAGCCTTTCTTTTTCAGATGTCATAGCCTTTTTTTTCCAGATGTCAACTCATTAAAACATCCTACTGCTTGCTTGAAGAACCAGGAAGACTTAATAGATTATGATCTGCAGGATGTCTAGGGCCTTTTCCCACTCGCACTACTTAAAGGTCATGAGGTCTTGGCTTATGGTTCCTGTTCTTCTCGGCTCTGGGTGGGACTGATGGGAGGAGCATCCTCTCTGGACAGCAAGTTGTGTTTGCGCAAGTGGCAGGCCTGGTCATATGGAGGCCGGATAGGTGGCTGTGTGGGGGGAATGTACTGGTACTCTTTACTGGCATCAAGCTGCACAAAGAAAATAGTCAAAAATAAAAAAGACATTCTTTAGATTATTTTGCTGATCAGGACCAGATCTATTGGACAAGTCTGTACAACTAGACCAGGAATATTTTTCCTATCAAAGTTTAAAGAAACTTCAAGCTACAAACGGCATGTTCTCTGTTCATTCATTCACATGGTGTTGAAAATGACCAGTTCAGAGTTGTTCTGTTTATATTTATACATGCTGGGGCAATTAATATATTATTTTTTTTAACAATTATTAAAATTTTTCCTGACATGAGGGTTATTTTAAAATGATTTATTTCCAGTTTTCTCCAATTAGACCAATCCCACTTAGAGGTCTCATTCAGGCTCTTGATTGAAAAAATAGATAAATAAATCACCACACTGAAAAAACACCACACCACAGAATATATTATTGGTGCTAATATGATATTGGACTGACAAGGAAACGTCTTAACTTCCTGTTAGTAGGTCGATAATTATTGTGCTCCCCTAGTTTACAAGGATGTTCACAGAAAACGGGTTGGACTGCAACAGACCATTAGCAAATTCCTGTCCTTTAACAACTCATATGTATGACCAGAACATCCATAATCTTTCAGATTCACATCATTACTGTGAAAATAGTCTGCATTAAATACACACAAAAGGATAACCAAGAACTTCAGTACATTTTTCTCCTGTTTGGAGGATTTTTGTGGTTGTAGTTAAAGATGAATGCCAGATCTGATCATGCCACTCCTCACCTGAAGGGGATAAGTTCTGTCTGAATCAAAGGCGCTAAGATCTCCACATGCAATGAAGGGAACAATGACACGGTTTGGTCCGTCTAGCTGGTTGAAGTCCACATCTGAAGGACAGAGAGCATACACCAGACTGAATACACACAAATACAAGTAATATGGTAATCTTGAACCTCTGAGCAAGAGTCGATCTGCAAGGTACTACATATTGATCCAGCATTGACTACTGATGTCTTGCCAGGAGCTTCAACCAATAGATAATTAGTTTAAGACAAAGTGACCAATATTATTTCTCATATTCACTCTCATGCATGAAGATGTATTCAAGTAAATGCCGCCCCTGGAACACAGCATTGTCAAAGGCTTTATAGTTACCATATGACTGGTCCAGCAGAGGGTTGGACATATTGGGGATGTAACCCTCTGGAGGAGAATAATTCTGGCAAACCACAAAGGCCTCTGCACAAACAACAACACACTTTGGATCAATGAGGAAAACAGAAAAAAAGAGGAATAAAACAATAGATTATCTATTTATTTCAGCATCCCGCAGCCTTAAAATTCACCCAACAAAAAAGAGGGAGAGATTTCCAGCTGAAGGTGCTCTGTAATTAGTCCCAACTGGTAATGGCTCACCAATGCTCGAGTTTCTACTGCTGCGAGGCTTGGCACAAGTCACACTGCTGAAGAAGATTTTCAGCTGAGAGTACAGTAGAGTTACATCTTTACCTCTAAAGATCTGAAACAAGACAGGAACAGACACATCACTATTTACATGTTACTTGTTTAAATTAAGCCTATCAGCTTGATTTATTGTTTTAATAACTCCAATAAAAACTGCATCACACAAATAAAACCTAACATATTAATAAAAAAATAATATTTGACACCAAAATTAGTGACTTGAAAAAAAAGTAACCCTTGAAAAAAGCAAGCAACAAATGTATTTCCAATCAGCCAATGTGGAGTCACGTTCATTTGAGCTTTCATGCTGTCAATCATGGAACATGTAGGGTTTGGAAACTCTGGCAGCCTTTTAAGGTTTGCTCTGCATTTTCTACTGAAAACACACACATTGCTGGTTGGATTAGTAGCACTAGCCATGCTAAATTTTTCATGGGAGATGCTAAAGCTAGTTTAAAATGGGACTGTCAATTGATTTTGTTTGGTTCATAATAGAAGCCAATTTTAACCGCTCTTGACGGGAAGAAAATTTGATTCAACAAACTCTTCTCAGAACCAGTTAAAATCAGAACAAGCAAGCCGTATTACAATTTTTAATGAAAGTACAAACCCAACCTCTCGTAATGCAGGGATATGTTTAGAAATGTTTTAAACATAAGTTAAAGGTACTTTTATTTTTTTAAAAGCCAAAGTATAAAATGGAATGCTACACAAAAGTGAAGCTTTTGGGGGAGAGATGGAGATTCCTCCATCTCTTCCCCATTTCTCCCCCAGTATTGGTATTTATTTATGTTTTCACACAATATATTTATAATTAAATTTTTTCTTTGGTGGTGGTTATTGCATTGGGTTGTTTACTAATTTGGGTGCACACTTTTAGTAAATACCTTATGTTTATTTAGATTATTAACTATTTTGTTTTGCTGAGTTTGAAGGACTGGCTGGGAGAGAGGACTGTTGAAAGGCAAACCAGGATGTGGAACAAACCATCAGGCTGTTGTAAGCAGGGGACTTGATGTTGAAGATTCTTCCACTCTCCACTAATGAAACAATTGCTAAAACATTTTGGTGTTGGGCTATTTTGTTTTTACAGTTGTCAAAATGTTTTAGTTTGTATTGGTTAATTATGTTTAGCATTATTTGTCTTTGTCTCTTCTCCCACCCCTCCTCATTTATGTATAAATTCCCCCGTGTGTTCATTATTTGAGGTCAGTTTTTGGTTTGTCATGCTGAGTTAGGTATGTTTTAGTTGATTTCATTTGGGCCCATTTTTGTTGAAAGCCCTTTAAGATTTAAAAAAATAAATAAATAGAATTTTTTTTTTGTATATATACCTTTGTCTTTGTGCCTAATTGGTCGGACCGTAACAATGTCAAAAACTTATTAGAAACATTCCCCATCTACCCAAACTTACTTGTTTAAAAAGTAAAAAAAATACAATAAAACATTTGATCATTGTGATTGGGACTTAACTTGGACATTTCCTAAAAAGCAGAACAAAAATCTTATGGCATTTTATGGAGGTGACATTTTTGTTCTTAACCAGGTTGTAAAATTGCACAGTAAGAAGGCAAAGTCAATATTTTGACTGGTCCTCGTCATATTCAAGCCTGATCAAAAAAATCCTCCAGAAAAATTGAAAATAATTCTTTTGCATAAAATAATTATTTTGCAAAAATAACAGGAGTGACATCAAGTAATTCAAACTATCAAACATTCATAGCTGTTTGATAGTTTTGATCGTGACTGAAAAATTCTTAAAACTTATACATAAAGAGCTGAAAGGTTATCTGTGACGTTTTACAGCATTTATTATTGTGCACAATTTTGTCCATGATTCCTAAAGATTACTCATTTTTTATATCAAAAATTAAAATTTTCGATATAAAACTTTTTTCTTCCAAGAATGTGCCAAGTGAACTAACAACTGGAACACACTGAAAACGCTCTTTTAACTACAATGATTATGAATCTGAAGCATCTATTTCTGAATTTCTCTATTTTTTTCTGAGATGGTGGGATGCAACTGGAGTGTAATCAGTATTTAGGGCCGAGCAGCAAAGCGCTGCGAAGGCCTATTGTTTTTGTACTGTTTCTTATTAGGCCCGAGCAGCAAAACGCTGCGAAGGCCTATTGTTTTTGTATTGTTTTTTATTATTATTCCACCCCCATAAAGAGGGGCCTTTTTGGGGGCTTTATCATATCCAAAAACTCACCAAACTTGGTGGACATGCCACGGGAGTTTCAAAATTTCGTATTTTAAGGTCATTGTAAAAATTGCCACAAAAAAAAAAAAAGAACGGCTCAACGGCGTCACCTAGCAATTTTCAAAGGACCCTTTGCTATTCCTTTACTTCATCGAAGAGATATGAAATTTGGTATAATTGTAGACCTCCCCAAGAAGCTCAAAATTTACAATTGATGTCATAGACCAGGCGGGCTGGCTCTGTGGTCGGCATGAAGCTGGACTCTGGTGACGGTGGCAGAGGCGAGGACACTGAACAAACTGCTGGACATCATGGACGATAGCAGCCACCCTCTACATGCCGTCATCAGCAGCCAGAGGAGCCTGTTCAGTGACAGACTGCTGCTTCCCAAGTGCCAGACCAATAGATTCAAGAACTCCTTTGTTCCCCACGCCTTCAGACTGTACAACTCCTCATTGGAGGGTTGGAGGGTAGGTGACACAGGACAGAGGGAAGGAGTAGTGATGTACTTTTTTTAGTAGTTGTACTTTTCTGCAAATGTGAACTCCATACTTATCAGGCCAAACCACATAGTGCAATACCATTACACTGGTCAATCTATCTGCCAAATTCCAATATTTTCTTGTGTTGTATTTATATTCTTATTCCTTGCTTATTTTTGCTTAATTTAGGGTTTTGGCTACTCACATTTAGTGTGTACCTTTGTATTTAATCTGTATTTCTTGTATTCTTTTGAATTTTTGCTCACTGTTTGCCACTTTTTTGCTTGTAAGCTGCTGGTAACTTCAATTTCCTGAGGGAGTCTTCCCAAGGGATCAATAAAGTACAAGTCTAAGTCTAGTGCAAGTACCACAGGAAGTCGGCCATTTTGGATTGAAGTTCCGATTTTGACCCTATTTTTGCCGTTTACAGCCTTCATATTTGATTGAACTCCTCCTTGGAATTTTGATTGATCGGCTTCAAACTTGGTCAGTCTGTTCATAAGGCATGTCCCATCTAAAGTTATCAAAACGGTGAGTTTTTGAGCATGCTGAATGGGCGTTACCAGGGTTCAAAGTTCACCTACTCACCATGAAAAAAATAAACTATTGTATCTCCCACATAAAAACTCACAGTCACCAAACTTACTGTGATTGATCATCATCGGGTTTCCTACAGACCCAATGGTTGAATGATGACGTCACGTAGGCCACGCCCCCTGACAATAGGAAGTGTCATGTTTTACTGTGAACGGTTGCTATCTTATTTGACCTCATCATCAACATGAAACTGTGCCCAGAGACAGAAGACATGTTGGTGTGTTGAGGATTCCAACCCCGACCAGCTTCGATGGAGCAGTTCGGCGTGGCGAAGTGACCTGTGACCACTGCCATACATTTGGCTTTCAATTCCACAGTTAACCCTAACCCTAACCCCTAACCCTGCTCCAAACTCACTAGGATAGATCCTCATCCATTCCCCGACAGAAATCCATCACAAAATTTGGTTGGGCGTGCCCTAATTTTTTTATAGCGCCCCCTAGAACACTTTAAATTATCAGCCCCAAGCCATGCTTTAACCTACAATTATGAAACTTGGTACACGTGTATCTTGTGAGGACGTAAAAAAAAAGTCTCTTGGAGCCATGGTCTAAACCCAACAGGAAGTCAGCCATTTTAGATCAAAGATGTCATTTTCTCTTTTTTATGGAGGTCGTATCTGATCGAACTCGTCCCACAGTTTTTCAGATACAGACTTAAAAATCACTCAACACACTTGAGGGATCAAAGGTAAAAAGTTGTCATAGGAATTATCCTAGGTCAAAGCATGTGGGTGTGGCTAAGCGACAAACTTTGACTATTTGCCATGAAATATCAAGATTCAATAACTTCCAAATGCAAGATTACAGCTGCATAAGACTTCCTATGTCTCTCTATAGAACAGTCCTGATCACATTTAAATGGTGAGTTGATGACATCAACTTAGCCCCTCTAACACCACAGCAGCCCATAAAATACAGGTTATGTTATTGAGGTTAACATATTAATTATTTTAAAATACATTGTTATAAGTTTTTCTTTTATATATATATAATTTTGTTTTGTGGGTTAGAGTACAAACATTCATTGATTTTGGTTAGAAATAATAGAAAGGATATCATTCATCAGCAGTCACTATTTAGAAACCATTTCTGTAATTCACCAGTAGGGGTCAGTATTACTCCACCAATGAAACAATTTGCATTAGAAAGACTGCCAAAGATGTCAAAAAAGATCGATGAGTGTGAAAACATTGGCGAGAGCGTCTGCCGTGACAATTCCAAAAGGAAAGGGGTTACATATAACCTCTAAGGTTATACTACCTTAGAGGTTATATTACATATAACTTCAGGTAATTTTTGTTGGCTTAAAATACACAGTAAATGTAGCGTTTGTTAATAACTGTTATTTACTACTGCAAGTAACTGAATCAAGTTCACTTGTCCCTACCTTACTGGTCAGTCAAGGGCAAAATCAAATCTAAGCAATTTGATTGGTTGTGATGGACTGAACTGCGCTGTAAGCTGCTACGTACTGGCAGTCTGGCGGCTGTTCATGGTCGAGGTTCGGCCAATTCCGCTGTGGACTGTAATTTTTTTTGATAACCAGTTGGAGCGTTTTGCTTGGGATTTGGAGCTGCAGACCCGAACCACGCTCGTGAGCCGAAACGGACTGTTGGACCGGAGTTGGAGCAATTTTATTGCCGTTCATTTAAAAACTGGTAACTCGCGGTGCAGTGAGTAACCTATTCCTCATGCTGGTTCTGGGAGCCGCCATCTTTGGAACTGTTATTCCAAGGACGATGCTAACCGAATCCCCTCAGGGGTGCAATGTTTGTAAAGCTAACGGAGCGCTTTACTAATTCAGGAAACTGAATAGTGTGTTTGATACATCCAGTTTCATATATTCAGCCTTGTTTGTTGTTATGTATAGAACCTGTTTAAAGGGTTGTTTCGAATAGCTCTGAGACATTGCTAAATACCTTATTATTAAGGAAGGTTAAAACTTTATTAGATCTTAAGCTTAGTTTTGTGTTTTATTTGTTTAAATTTTATATTTTTGATTAGTTTATAAAATGCTATAGCTGTGAGTTTAGGAATTGTCAGCAATACCTTCTAGTGACATAATAAGTACCCAGTAATAGTTTACATTTCCTGTCAACTTTACATGTTTTAATACAAAGCCATACAAAACTGCAGTGGGTTGCCTGAGTGCATCAGGCTTAGCAAGTTTTCTGGGGGAAACTATGTTTGTGAATTTAGACTTTAAAATTCTGATTAGACAAGCAGCTGTTTCGTTCACACCTGTTCACGGTAGACAGGTGTGAATTTAGGAAATATTGGAGGAAGACAGAATGATCCAACCTTGGCTACAAAAGTTCCTCCAGGTGTCAGGACATGAGTGGTGATGTTCAGAGCCTGAAAAACACAGATGTCAGTTTCACACCACCAAACCTCACAAAGGACAACACCTCTGTACTCACAGCTAATAGGAGCTGAGCCTGAATATACTCATCCACATCATGGAGTCCAGTCACTATGGAGACAAAACAGGAAGGAAATTCAGAAGATGACAGCAGAGAGGTCAGGCGGGAGAATGGGGACCTGACCGTCTGGAGCTCCATCACACACCACCAGGTTGGCTGGCTGCCCCTCGAAGTGACGGATTATCTCTTGAGCTGTGGACACCTGGAGGTAGGAAAACATGAGTATGAGTAACAGCATCCCCTCACCTCAGTAACTTTCTTGCTATATTAAATTACATTTCAGATCACAAAAATCATATCAACAAAAACTGTAATTGGTGCACCCAGAGAAATAATCCATTGATTATTTGTGGATTTGTTGAACACCTTTGTAATGTCTCCCTGAATCTGAGTGACTCCTGGCAGAGGAGCCATGGCCTGCAGGTCCACTGCAACAATCTTCACCTCCTCCTTTCTGCCTCTGCATTGGAAAAAAAAGAAGAATCTAGGCAGGATCAACATAAACTTCAAGCGTTTTTGTGGGTTTGAAATCTTGGACAGTTTTCTAAAGATGTAGAATACAGTAGAAGGAGACCTGAGTTTGCGGCTGAGAGCCTGACTCCAGCTTCCTGGTGCTGCACACAAATCCACAGCTCGGTTCACACCTGACACACAGAACAGAAGCAGAGCTCCTATGTCTCCATAGAAACCAGGTTCATCTACATTTGATGATATATGTTCAACTTAGTGGATGTAGTGAAAACGATATCAATGTTGATAAAACAACAGTATTAATATCTTTGTGTATTTAGTTCATAGCAAACAGTCATCTTTTCTAGGGCTGTGTAATTATATAGATTCTATGATATTTATTTATATATTTTCCCCCTCAGAAAGCATACATTTTTTATCCACGAGTATCGACACACAAGCCCTTAGGGTCCATATGCCCCACAAACGGAACATTTAATTTGATTCTGCCAATTATAATTAATATTATGATAAGTGTCACAAATCTGTGCAGCAGGCATCTGAATTGCTAAGCCATATGTGTCTTTTTAACATGTCTAATTTGTGATGGGACGGCATAGCAGCAAGACTCCACCTCCCAAAGACCCACTTTCAACTTGTGCTTAAAGTGCCCATCATAAACTACACACCAGTTTTTAAAGTGTGTTCATCGGCCAAGTAGAACCGGAGTTATGCTACAATAAGTTTATCATATTTTTTCGAATGTCAGAGAAATGTCCAAAACTGGCTTTTCTGAGAATGTGAAAAGAAATGAGGTTACAAACATAAAAAAATAAAACGCAACATTAGATTTATTTGTTATTGGAAATCTCAAAACTTCAACAAATAATGATGGGCTGTATTTTGTTACTAAGAAGTAAAGTTGATCAAGTAATCATGAAAGAGAAGCTGGAACAGAGTAGCGGCGTGAAAGAAGTAGAAGCAAATACAGTGAGATTGCAAAATTGATGCAAAGTTTGAATATTGGAACGAGCGGTGGGATCCATTTAGTAATTTGTTTTTAGCTAGGTGTTTTCTATTCTGTATATAAAGGATTACATGAAGAATAAACGAGCAGGAGGTAGTGGCACTCTGTTTCGAGCTGGAAGACAAAAAGGATTTAACAACAAATTGAAATAAAATATGCTGTATTAATCCTCTCCTGTTGTGGTTCTGGTGACCTGAGGGTAGGGTCTCACCTGAAAACAGGTTGAACTGGTGGTCCAGCTGCAGCAGCTTGAAAGCGCTTCTGGCCCTCCAACCCTCTTCCTTAGCCAGACGGTAGTATATGTCCCGCTTGTCTTTGGAGGACCGCCCCATCCTGGACCTGGAACAAGATCCGCACAACCAGAGACAGATCAGTCAGGATCCTAATGCCGTTTAATGCCATAGAAGAGAACAGAAAGCGGTAGGTCACTACGAGAGATGTAGAGGCTTTTAACCCAGGGCAGCCTGATAACATTTTATTCATCCCCTAAGGTGGGAACATTTTGTTTGTCCACGCGTAACACAATTAATTTAAAATAAAGTAATAAAAATATATATAAAATAACTAACAATGAATAATGATAGTCTTACGGACATATAAAATCATATTTTCAAAAATACAGAGAGAAAAAAAAAGACAAGAGTGTCAATTTTTCTCTAAGAGATGGGTAGACTGTGAGAGATTGCCTCCATTTAGCATAGTTCGCTTAGCTACAGACTACTGTAGCAAGACTTCATTAGCATTTAATAAATTGAGGAGCTATTTCTTTATTTTTAGTTAAATCTTAGAATTTAGACTTCCGGTGGAGGGAATGACGGGTCAGATGTGTCTGGCTGAGCAACTAGAAATAATTGTTATTTTAGGCACATTTTTATTAGTTTTCTAAGCCTTTTCTTTTGGTGTGCTTTTTTTCCTGCGACTCGAATTTCAGCTTTTTTCTCGACCAAAATGCCTCAGAAAGTCAAATCGTCTGTACAACAACAGAGGCCTGCTTCTCATGCTACATCCCCGCCTCGTGATGACTCTCCCTCCTGCCTGGATGATCTCGCTGATGGCACTCCTTCCTCGGCCTATGAGAACAAGCTGCTATAGGCACTCTGGCTTGAAATGCCACTCATTTTCAAAACCAGCTCAAGCCAGGACCTAGCAGCGGTTTATAATTGGAGATACACACTTCTCGGTTTTCTCTGACCATGTGCTGAGGATGGCCCGCACTGCCTTTAATGATATCTGCTGTCAGCTTCGCGAGATCTGGGAGATTAGTTTCGGTCTGCTCTATCCAGCACGACTCTGGGTTACACACAATGGTACGGAGAAGTTTAATTCACCAGAAGAAGCCAGCGTCTTCATCAGGTTATTCAAGACATAAGAGAACTTTGCAAAGGTACACAACTCTGAATAAGCAGCTACATATTACAATTATTGACTATTATCACTGACTTTGCTTCACTGAGGTTATGTTTTCTTTTTGTAATTACCATTTTCTACTTTGTTATACTTTGGACTCAAGCAGATGTGTGTAACATTGTTGAATGTTGTTGAGTTTGCGGGAGCTCAAACTGCAGTGTTTCTGCTACGACTTTGCTAAAAATCATAAGGATTCATTCAAGGTATCTCCTTGTGGAGTCTCCGCTGGGTTCTTCATCGTTTGGGGATGGGGTTGTGGTAAGTGCTGCGGGGACAGGGGTACCAGAGGGATGGTTGTTCACTTTGTTATTGTTGTTGTTTTTCTACTTTTTGTTTTCCTTTCTTTTGCTCTCTTTTTTTGTGGTGGTGGGGGGTGGTGCACCCTATTCAGCTCTCTTGTCTCTTCTGCAGTAGACTTGGAACATGACTACTAATGATTATTATTATTCAAATCTTTTTGTTGGCTTTAAAAATGTAATAACAATGAAACAAAAACAAAAAGGCAAAAGGTGCTGACCTCATATATGTAACAGAAAAGAGGGGAAGGGATAGAGAAGGGGATGGAGGGGAAGAAGAGAGGACATGTGGAAGGGCTATATGCTCAGGAGGACTTTGTCTCAAAATACAAAAGAAAAGGCTACTAGGTGATGTTGTATTGTCCCTCCCCAGACCTCCTCCATGGGGATTTTTTTGCAGGCACTATTGTTCCTTATATGACAGTAGGCTGACATAAAAGGAGAGGGGGGGAAGACATGTGGCAGTCAAACCCAACGGCTGTGTTGAGAACTTAAAGCCTCCAAATGTGGGTCGTACTATCCCCTATGCCACCACAGCACTCCCATGGATGTTGTCTTTTTGAATTGAGTCGTTATCTGTATGTTTCAGATGCTCAAGCATTAGATGAAACATAACATCTTCTATCCATTGCTTATGAGACGGAGGAGCAGCTCTCTTCCAATTGAATAATATTATGCGTATTGCAAGTAGCGTAACAAATGCTGTTGCATTGGTCTGTTACGTTGATATAGGTGTTGTCGGAGCATTTCGATTAATATTCCTCTTGCATATAAATGTAATTGTCCTGAAGATTGACTCCTAAAAGGGGAGGAGCCTGGGGCAAAGCCAGAACATATGACTGAGATCAGCAGGGCTATGCCCACACCTAACACAAGATGAGTCTACGCCAAGATACATTCTAGGTAGTTTAATGGGGACAGGTGTAATCTGTGCAGCACCTTAAACTGTAGCAGACTATGCAAATTGAAGACGAGTGGAGTCTTGAGATTGCGGCCTGCCAGGCTGCATCAGTAAATAGTTCCCTAACTCTTTCAGATGTCTAAGTGATGGGGATGCAGCGTTTTAAATTTTGCTATATATAGCTGATCCTAAGCCCTTATCAGTCGGATTCATCAATTCATGTTATTCGAGGCAGTGTTAATAAAAATTAGCTTTCACGTAACTGTGTACTTGGAGACACCTAAAGAAATTACCCTGAGGGACCCCGAAGCGCCTTTTTAGCTGTTCAAAAGAAATAAATTTGCCTCTTTCAAAAAGGTTCTTATGAAAGTTATGCCACTCTCGTGCCACTTCTGAAAGTGGCATGAGGATTGATCTATTAAGGATGTGGTGGCACAGGGGATTAGCACTCCCCATGTTTGGAGGCCTCAGTCCTCAACGCAGAAAGTTGTGGGTTCGACTTCGGGGCCCAGCGACCTTAATAAGCAAAACTAAGCGAAACTAGACTGCTAGAATGTTGTTCCAGGTGGACCTAATCTGGAGATTCAGCATCCGACTGATTCATAAACCTGTACAAAAACTTAAGGATATTGGTTGCCTAGTAATAGCAAAGGAAATTAGGTAGGAATAGTGCACCCTCCTCTTTCTTTCATGTCTCCAGATATGCCTTTTGAAATCTTGGAATGTTTTTATTCCAGATGAACACAGATATATGTTTGTTTAATTCTTTAAAAAATTTCTTAGGAATAAAGACTGGTATGGTTTGAAACAGATATAAGAAACTTGGCATGATTGTCATCTTGACTGAGTTTATTCTTCCTACAAGAGACAGAGGGAGTTTTGACCACTTCTCCATGTCTAATTTAGCCTTATTCAGTGCCTTAGTGAAATTTTTGTTCAACAAGCAACTGTAGTCGTATGTTACACGGACACCCAAATAATCAAAACTATCTTTACTGACTATAAAGGGGAGACTATGGAAGGCCATTTGACGTGCCTTTTCGTTGATAGGGAATATAACACTTTTTGATAGAATCAATCTATCACCAGAAACTTGTCCAAATCTTTCAATTAGGTTTAGAGCAATAGGTATTGTGGTACTGGGTTTAGACAAGAAAAGGAGGTCATCAGCGTAAAGGGACAGTTTGTTTACTTGTCCACCTCTCTGCACACCAGTTAAATTAGCGGAGAGGAAAGAAACTAGAAGTGAACTTATTTGTTCGTACTGACGCAAGAGGTGCTGTGTACAATATGGTGATCCAAGAACATAATACTGGGCCATTATCCAAAATTTTTGAGTGTAATGAAAGAAAAAAAAAGTAATATTCAATTCTGTCAAATGCCTTTTGGGCATCAAGGGATATCACTACTTCAGGTTTGACATCATGACACTGATAGATTACATTAGAGACGTCGCAAATTACTGGATATCTGCTTCCCCCTAACAAAACTCATCTGGTCTGGGTGGATAGGTTTGGGAAGAACATCGAGTCTGCCAGCAAGGACCTTTACCAAAATCTTATAATCATAACATAGCAAACTAATTGGACGTTATGATTCACAGAGCAAGGAGTCTTTAGGTTTTTTTAAGCATCAGTGAAATAATTGCTTGTATCTTAGTCACAGGTAGAGCCTTTTTATCTAATATTTCCCTAAAAACTCTTTGCAGTAAAGGGTCTAATTTTTGTATGAATTAAAAAAAAAATTCCATGGAAAACCCATCTGGGCCTTTCTAGATTTCATTTTTGTAATAGCCTTTTATCACTGTAATAGTGTTGTTGTTGACTGTTTAAGTTGATGGGACAACATTTTGCCGGCACGATCCCCAGAGTCATAATAGGTGATATGTGACCTCATGTGCATGTCTACGGCTATTATATTAGTGACTGAATCAAATTCTGTTTGAAGTAGGACTCTTTTTCTGTATAAGTCATCAGAAGGTGAAACTGAATGTAGTTGATCTATGCTCTTAATTCGTTCAATAGGCTCTGAAGCCCATTTAGCTCTCCTTTTATTTTCACCAGCGATGTAAGATATCACTTGACCTCTCAGATATGCTTATAGACTTTCCCAAAGTGTAGCATTACTTATCTCAGGCGACTTATTCAACTCAATAAAAATATCTATTTGTACATTGATAAAGTCAACAAACCTTTGTTCAGACGTGGGTAACCATGAGCAAGAGTTTCTGATCAATTAGAAAGCAGTCAAGCCTTGAGTAGTTTTGGTGCAGGTTTGGTGAGTAAAAAGGGAACTGTTTGGATGATGGATTCCGTATGTTTCAAGAAATGCATTAATACAACGGGCTGAGTTACTAAGCGTGGCAACTTTTGGGCTGGAACAATCCAATGTTGGGTCCAAAGTGCAATTCAGGTCCCTAGCTAGTATCAAGTTGTGTGACTCAAGATCTGGTAAGAAAGGAAAAAAGATTGCTAAAAAAATCCACATTATCCCGGTTAGGGGCATGAACATTAGGTAGAATAACAGGCCCATTAAATAATGAGCCTCGTGTTGGGTGTGCTGTGGTGGTGCAGGGGGTTAGCACGCCCCACGTTTGGAGGGGATGCGGACGTCGCGGGTTCGACTCCCGGACCCGGCGACCTCTTCTTTCCCTCTTTCTTGTCGGTTTACTGTCAAAAAATGTGAGATACTAGCACTGCGAAAAACTATGAGAAAAAATAATAATAATAATAATTTGTCCCTCATTGTTTTAGACTCTTCATATCAGTGTAGACTCTGTGAAGTCTACACTGATCTTTAAAGCATAATAATTGGATATCCAATTATCCAAATTATTGGAGAATTGGAAATCCAATTATCCAAATTATTGGAGAATTGGAAATCCAATTATCCAAATTATTGGAGAATTGGAAATCCAATTATCCAAATTATTGGAGAATTGGAAATCCAATTATCCAAATTATTGGAGAATTGGGAATCCAATTATCCAAATTATTGGAGAATTGGGAATCCAATTATCCAAATTATTGGAGAATTGGGAATCCAATTATCCAAATTATTGGATAATTGGGAATCCAATTATCGAAGCTAGAAACTTCTCCAAGATTGATTCCATTCTGTTCTTGAGTTTTAGAGTCCTTAGGGACTCTGTCTCAGCAAGACTCACATCCAACTTGCATCTCTGTCCACACCAACAGTCTGAGTGCTCGCGAGTTCAGCCAAGTCCGTCACCAATTTGTCAATAAATCAGGTATCCGCAACTTCCAAACTGCAGAAATCCTGTTTTCAAGAATAAATCAATTCCACTGGGTGTGTCCCCGCAGGACAGTCTTCTCTTTGAGAACATTTGATCAATTGCATTGAGAGACTGGTTGACCAGATCCATAGTTTGTAAATTTGGAGGATGTGAAAAGAAAGGCTCCAAAAATAAAGAAAAAGACAGGACAAAAACAGTGCCAGCAGGGAGGACATGGGCAGGGAGAGAACAAAGAAAAAAAGCGTCCGCCTTCACCGAGAGCAAGAATTAATGGAGACATTACAACTAAAAATGCTAAGAGCTAGAACACCGATATTGAACATGAAACCACAACCAGAGAAAATTGGACCCTATTGCTGAATGGGACACAAAACTATAGAATTACTTACCAGATCACACAGTCTAACCAGAGGTAGTGTCATTCATTGTTTCTTTTATGAAGCTGAAAGTGGCAGCAGCAACAAAACACAAGCTCTTTGGTCCTCCTCATCGTCATCACCTCTTGTGATTTCTATATTCAATTAAGTTCAAGCTCCTGCTGTCTGGATGTCCTACCCACACATGTCTTTAAGAAAGTCCTGCCTGTTATTGCTACTTATCTGATCCAAATAGTAACTCATCACTCACATCAGGCGTTGTTCAAAAGACCCCTTAAATAGTCTAAGTTTGTTAAGTACTCGTTAAGTGTTCGTATTAGGTGATCTCAGTTCAGCATTACTTTTGCCACAACAATCCTACAAATTAAGAGCAGCCTCAGCTACAGGCGTTTTCCCCTGGGCTTTGAAAACAGCAGTCATCAAACCACTCCTAAAAAATGAACAATCTGGATAATTGGAAATACATCTGAATTACAGAATTACTGCAGAATTACAGGCCGACCTCTGACCTCCTATTCATCAGCAAAGTTATTGAAAAAAATATGTGTAAACAATTAAATTGTTTCCTCATGATGACCAACTGCTTTGACTCTTTTCAATCTGGTTTTTGTGCTCACCACAGCACAGAGACTGCCCTTCTAAAAGTGTTTAATGATATCCACATAAATACGGACTGTGGGAGAACCACAGTGCTGGTTCTGTTGGATCTCAGTGCAGCCTTTGATACTGTCGACCATGACATATTACTGAATCGACTGGAGAGTTGGGTTGAACTCTCCGGTTCGGTGCTCGACTGGTTTGAAGAACAGGGATTTCTTTGTTTCGATTGGAAACTCCTCATCAAAGAGGTCAAAGGTCACATGTGGGGTACCCCAAGGTTCAATCCTAGGACTCCTCTTATTCAATATTTATATTCTCCCACTAGCTCAGGTTATAACAGGAAATATTAGCTACCATAACTATGTGGATGACACACAGCTCTACATTACAATGTCACCAGGTGACCTTTGACCACATCCAATCACTGAATAAATGCTTAGAACAGATAAATGTGTGGATGTGCCAAAACATTCTCCAACTGAACAGAAACAAAAACTGAAGTCATTATTTTTGGACCTAAAGAGGACCGATTTAGAGTCAATGCACAGCTTCAGTTATTACAAGTAAAAACTAGCGATCAGGCCCAAAACCTGGGAGTAGTGATGGACTCAGACTTGAACCTTGCGAGCCACATAAAGACGATTAAAAATTCGGCCTTCTATCACCTGAAGAACATCTCCAGGATTAGAGGACTAATGTCTCAGCCAGATCTAGAGAAACTCATCCAGGCGTTTATCTTTAGTCGCATTGATTATTGTAACAGCGTCTTCACAGGCCTGTCCAACAAATAAATCAAACAGCTGCAGCTGATCCAGAAGCTGCTGCTCCAGTTCTCACTAAAACCAGGAAGATAGAGACATTACAGCAGTTTTAAAGTCCCTCCACTGGCTCCCTGTAGCTCAAAGAATAGACTTTAAAATACTGTTGTTAGTTTACACATCACTGAAGGGTTTAGCACCATAATACATCAAAGATCTGCTGTTGTTGTATCAAACTTCCAGACCTCTCAAGGTCTTCTGGTTCTGGTCTGCTTTGCATCCCCAGAACCAGAACCAAGAGAGGCGAAGCAGCTTTCAGCATCTATGCACCAAAAATTTGGAACAAAAATCCAGAAAACTGTATAACAGCAGAAACCCTGACTTCCTTTAAATCTCAACTAAAAACATACCTGTTTAGAATTCTATTTGAAACGTAATATGTAACAATGTATTGCTTATTTTATGTTGCATGACTTTGTGTTTTTGTATTTATGATGTAAAGTACTTTGAAATGCCTTGCTGCTGAAATGTGCTATACAAATAAAATTTGATTTGATTTTGTTACAAATACATTGTTACTGTACTTAAGTAAATTTTCATGTATCTGTACTTAAGCAGATTTAATCATGGGTCCTTTACTCCACTACAGTTTACACTGAGTAGCTGAACTTTCTACTTTACTACATTTATATAAAGTGTTGCGTCACCTGTGTTGCATCAAAGTCACATTGTGCTTTTTTTATTTGTTAGTTTGAAAAAACTGTTCCACCTTTGCTTCCCCCAAAAGCATGAACTTTTAGCTTTCAAAAATTCACCATTGAAACAGAAACATATTGAGGTAAGTTAAGTTGTTAAATGCTATCTAACTTTTGGGTGTTTTTAAGGATGTTTTATGTTATCTTACCAAGTATATTGTCGAAATAGACTGCAATCAGCAAAAGCTAGTGTAACATAGTTGAATTTTAACCGAACCATTTCAACTATGTTACACTACCACGAAAGGGCAAGTAACATTGATTACTGCAGTTGTGGGCACATGGAGCACTGCGTCTCCTGCCATGAATGTCCCAGGTAACGTTAAACTTCTCCATGTCCTGGTTATTAAATGAATGTTAGTGCCAAGGGAGTAATCTCCATTTCATATTAACATTTACTCTCATATTTAATAAATTAGAACATGGGTTCCGAGGAGGCTCGTTTGTCAGATTTTGAAAACAATTTTGCAGGTATTAAAAATATTTTTCATTAAAACACACATTTCTGCATCAAGGTTTCTGTTTAATTGTTCTGTAATCTTAATTGGAAAAGTCATGTTAATTTGCTGCAAACAACAAATCATCATCATTAACAAATAATAGCTTTAAAACAGTTTGTGGGGACTCAATCTATCTGATGTTTTAAGCTTCTGAGCTTAGTTACTGAAAAACATTAACTTTTCATAAATATTCTAATTTATTGAAAATGACTTTAACTAAGGACTAGCAGAGTCCTTAGTTAAACTAAGGACTACTAGAGTCCTTAGGACTACTAGAGTCCTTAGGACTACTAGAGTCCTTAGTTAAAGTCAGATTAAATCTAAATCTAATCTGTCACAGAAAGTAAACACAATAAAAACATGCATTATCTTTTTTGTTCATTAAAATGGCAGATTACTGATGTATTAAAATTAAATACTATATGCAGACTTATTACATTAGTATTAGCCATTATGTAATACATTCAGTCAGTTTTCTTCAGGTTCTGTGTGTTCAGGAGATATTTCCGGGCGACAGCCATTGCCACCTTCAATGGCTCTTTGAAGAATCTTGATGAGCAAATTTCCCTGTGGAATTAATGAAGTATTTTTTTAATTTGAAGTACTTTTAATTCTTTAAGTATTTTTAAAAGGCAGTACTTTTTTTTTTTTTTACTTTTACTCAAGGAAAAATGTTAATGCAGTACATTTGCATTTACTAGAGTGCATGTTTGTCTGTTTTTTGTTGTTGGTGGTGGGTTTTTTTTAAAAAACTTTTATTTAAGTACATTGTTTGAGTACTTTCTCCACCACTGGCTTTATAACAATATTCAAATGAAAAAATCTGGAGCAAAATGTGCTACCCACAGGTAGGAAGGCCTCCCTCACCTTCCTACCTGGTTCTTATTTACCAGGTAGGAAATTTTGATAGATTTTGGTAGATCAACATGTGCTACTGTAGATGTGTATTTTATGAAGGTAGGATTCTAGTACAATGTTTAGATATTTTAGTGCATCTAAATGTATGTATGTATTCTCAGGAAGGATTTTAGTGCATTTACAAAAGCGGGTATTTTTAAACGGGAATTCAGATGCTTTTAGAAAAGATTCATGGTTCACATATTTTTCAAATGCTACATTGTCATTGCGAAGCGCCAATTAATCCCGTCACTTATATTTCATAATCGGAAATCAGTATTTAACATTGACACTAAGGTAGATCGACTAGCTGTCTTGACACACTAAAGGTATAGAAATATAACGAGAAAGCACAGATAAACAGAACACCGGTTTGTTAAATAATTCAGTTTTCCTCCTGAAAAAACTCGCGGTTTTCCTACTCATCTCTATTTTCTTAGTCTTATCTGGAAAAGCCGTGGTTCACCGATTTATTAGTTTAAAGATGGAAACATTTCCGCTTCAATATTTTATTTTACTCACACTTCACGTACTGTCGTCAACGTTAGAACTCTTCTTCTTCCTCCTCTTCTTCTTCTTCTTCTTCTTCTTTTCTTCTTCTTCTTTTGTGCTTTATTGGCGGATGGCAACCAACTTAAGGTACATTTACCGCCACCTACCAGAATGGAATGTGGTCATCAAAAATGTCAGAGGACAAATTAAATCACACACACGCGTGCGTGGGTGTGTATGTATATATATATATATATATTATATATATATATATATATATATATATATATATATATATATATATATATATATATATATATATATATATAGATACATACATGTAACCTGGTTGAATTTATATGTTGTTAGAATTTCTCAAAATGTTTTTCTTTGGTTATTTGTATGGGTTCCTACCTGACTGAAAATCTCTGTTATTGTTTTAACTGTGTTACTTTAAGAACGGAAGCCCCTCCCCTTTTGTTTCTTCCTCTGTGGTATTACCTTTAAAATGTTTGCGTCCCTTAGACCCTCCCCTTTTGTCATGTTGTCCTGTGGGAGAGGTGTGTATTATTTATTTTGTATCTAAATACATCCAGTTTATTTATAGATTTATTAAGTTAATTTCTGTTATGTACTTTTGTTTATGTAGGGCTTGAAGCGGGCAGCCTGTAACACGGTTATTTCTATTTGTTATTCTTGTCAGAATAAACCCTTTTAAAGGTGAACCACGGCCTGATCATTTAAAACCAGCACAACGCAGATCGGATCCGGTTACATATATACACTCCTGATCAAAATCTTAAGACCAGTCAAAAAATTGCAAGAATTTGCATTTTGCACTATTGAATCTTAAGAAGATTCTAAGTAGAGCTTCACAATGTTAAAAGAAAATATTAGTGCAAGAGACAAAAACATTTGAGCAGGGAATTTTCTGAAAACTGCATTTACACTCAAACATGATTTTTTCAGCTGATCAAAAGTTTAAGACCATAGTCTTTAAAAGCCAAAAGCTGTGCAAAAATCTGGATTCCATGTCATGTTCTGTGAAGTCTTTACACTGTCAAGACCTCCAGATGGCAAAAAAAAAAATTCACTGACTTTGAACGTGGCAGGATTGTTGAGCTGCATAAGCAAGGCCTCTCACAACGTGCCATTGCTGCTGAGGTTGGACGCAGTAAGACAGTCATTTTGCATTTTTAAATGATCCTGAGGGTTATGAAACAAAAAAGTCAAGCGGTAGACCCAAAAAAATTTCACCAGCTCTGAACCGCAGGATCCGATTGGCTGTCCATCAAGACAAGGGACGATCCTCTACCCAAATTAAAGCCATTACTGGTGCCGACTGCAGCCCGATAACCATCAGACGGCATCTGCAAGGGAAGGGCTTCAGAAACAAAAACGTCTTCAAAGGCCACGTCTTGTTCAACGCCACAGAATTGCCCGTTTGGACTTTGCAAGGGTGCACCAAACATGGGACATTGAAAGGTGGAAGAAAGTTGTCTTCTCTGATGAGAAAAAGTTTTGGCTTGATGATCCTGATGGCTTCCAACGTTACTGGCATAACAGAGAGATCCCACCTGAGATGTTTTCTACACGGCACAGTGGTGGGGGCGCCATCATGATTTGGGGTGCGTTTTCCTTCAATGGAACAATGGAGCTTCAGGTTGTGCAGGGGCGTCAAACAGCAGCTGGCTATGTGGAGATGTTGCAGCAGGCATCCCTCATGACTGAGGGCCCTCGTCTGTGTGGTAATGATTGGGTTTTTCAACAGGACAATGCTGCAGTTCACAACGCCCGCCTGACAAAGGAGTTCTTCCAAGAGAATAGCATCACTCTTTTGGACCATCCTGCATGTTCCCCGGATCTAAACCCAATTGAGAACATTTGGGGATGGATGGCAAGGGAAGTTTACGAAAATGGACATCAGTTCCAGACAGTGGATGCCCTTCGTGAAGCCATTTTCAACACTTGGAGCAATGTTCCCACTAGCCTCCTGGAAACACTGGCATCAAGCATGCCTAAACGATTGTTTGACGTCATCAACAAGAATGGTGAGCTACTCATTACTGAGTCCTTTTTTTGGCACTTTGATTTCTGTTTTGGGGGTTTTGGAGGTTTTTTGAGCTATGGTCTTAAACTTTTGATCAGCTGAAAAAATCATGTTTGAGTATAAATGCAGTTTTCAATTAATTCCCCGCTCAAATGTTTTTGTCTCTTATGCTGATTTCTTCTTTTAACATTGTGAAGCTCTACTTAGAACCTTCTTAAGATCCAATAATGCTAAATGCAAATTCTTGCAATTTTTTGACTGGTCTTAAGATTTTGATCAGGAGTGTATATATATGTGAGACAGTCCAGCACATAACAGCAGGGTGCAAGATACTGGCAGGAAAAGCGTACATGGAACGACATAACCAAGTGGCAAACATAGTGTACAGAAACATGTGTGCAGAATATGGACTGGAAACCCCGAGATCAAAGTGGGAAACACCCCCAAAGGTGGTGGAGAACGCCAGAGCTAAGATCCTGTGGGACTTCCAGATCCAGACAGACAGAATGGTAATGGCAAACCAACCAGACATTGTCGTAGTGGATAAACATCAGAGGAAAGCCGTTGTGGTAGATGTAGCAATAACAAGTGATTGCAACATTAGAAAAAAGGAGCATGAGAAACTGGAGAAATACCAGGGCCTCAGGGAGGAACTGGAGAGTGCCTGGAAGGTGAAGATCACAGTGGTGCCTGTGGTCATCGGGGCCCTCGGGGCAGTCACCCCCAAACTGGAGCAGTGGCTACAACAGATCCCAGGAACAGTATCAGACATCTCAGTCCAGAAATCTGCAGTACTTGGCACAGCCAAGATACCTTGCAGGACCCTCAAGCTCCCAGGCCTCTGGTAGAGGACCCGAGCTCAGAGGATAAGAACCACCCGCGGTGGGTGAGAAGGGAATTTTATATATATATACACATACATATATATACATTTTAAAAGATTTAACATAGAAAATCCTATTTCCTCTCTATTTAGTTTCAACTTTAAATACTGACGATCCTGTGAATACTTATTAGATTCTAATAAGACATGTTCCACTGTTTCCATCTGATTACAACAATTACAAGTCAAAGTTTTATGTTTCCCTATTCTGAAAAGAGAACTATAAAGTCCAGTCCATATCGCCACTATAAGTCAAGATATGACTACCTCTTCTTTCCGCCTTGCATTCATACAACTGTTACTCCCCACAGTCTTTTGAATTATACATAAATATCTGGTAGTATCATGATTATCCCATTGTTCCTGCCAAAGCTTAAGGATTTTATTTTGAATAATAGATTTCCCCTTACTTTTGCTGAAAGGAATACTTAAGTGACTAAAATCCTATTTCAGGGCCTGTTTAGCTAATGCATCTACTTTTTTATTTCCTTCTATACCTACATGTTTTGTTTGATCCAGACAAATCGAACAAAACATTTTTTATTATGTAGCTAAACTGATCAGTGATATATACTTAATAATATATCTAATCTATAAGATTAGATTTATGCGATATGATGATCAACAACCAGGATCAGACACTCGGGAGGGTGGGACCGGATCAATGGGTTCTGAGGAGGAATAAAGAAGTGAGTTCAGGGTGCCGAGGGAAAGGCAGTTCTGAGGTTCTTGGGTTTTACTTGCTGGCAGAGAGAGCGGAGCGGGGAGGGGTAAGGCACCACGGTGATGGAGAGGAGGAAGCGAGCAACTGCGGCATTGGAGAGTGGACAGGTCAGACAAGTCTTCAGGATGCAAGGGAGAGCTTGCCACGGGGTCTTGGAGATTACACCCAGCCACTTGGAGTCTGGACAGAACAGGTAACCAAAGGCTTCACGAAGGCGACACAAATAAAGACACTCTGGCACTGGGGTGTCTGCTTCATCTTCCTGAAGTACTCCTCCAGTCAAGGTAAGTGGCGGCAGGTGTGCAGGTAGAATCCACCAATCACGCCCACCGCGTGATTGCTGTTTATGAAGTTATGAAATAAACAAATTTGCTGCATTTTACTGGAAGAAAATTGTGTTGCGGAGGTTAAATAACATCTGTTTAACCTCTACAACAATCTAAAGTGGCTTGAAAGAATGAAAGACTCAAACAGCAGGATAACCCGCTGGTAGCTGGCAATGCAACCATTCCGGTTTGATGTTCATCACATTCCGGGGAAGCTGAACACTACTGCCGACTACCTGTCACGCTGGCCCATGGAGTTTCCAGAAGAGGGGGAGTGTGTGGAGGTTCCTCCATCTTTTTATGGAGAAGATGGAGTTAGTATTTCTTTTTTCAGTGTTAGTATTTAGTTAATGTTTTATATTGATAATATTTATATTGGTTATATCACTTTTTCTTTGATGGTGGGTTTTTGGTATTAAGTTGTTTACTAGATTGGGTGCACACATTTTAGTAAACGCTTGGTTTATTTAGAATATTAACTATTTTGTTTTTGGTTGAAATGAAGGACTGGCTGGGAGGAGTTGATTGTCTCAAACCAATAATTGGAACGAACCATCAGGCTGCGGGAAGCAGGGAATTTGATGTGGAAGACTCCTCCTCTTGCCCTATTGACATCTTCCTTTCGCTCTATTGTTATATTTATGGTGTTAGGTTGTTTTGTTTTATAGTTGTGTTAAAGTAAAATGTTGTGATTTGAATTTGTTATTTATGTTTATGTATTGGTTGTTTTTGTTTGTTCCCCCACCCCTCCTTGTGTGTGTGTGTGTAGGCTAGCCTTTGTGTATAAATTCCCCTGTGTGTTCATTGAGAAGAGTCAGTTAGTTTTGTTTGTTGAGTTGGTATGCTTTAGTTGATTATTTTTTGGGCCCATTTTTCTTATATTTCTTTTTGAAATTTGTTGTAAAAACATCTTTAAACTCTTTTGAAAAATTAAATGGTTATTTTTATATATGCCTTTGTCCTTGAGTTTGCTGGTCGGACCATCACAGTTGGTGTCAGAAGTGGGATCCTCCAGTTAAGGACAAAGGTATATTTCTTAATTTTTTCCATCACACAAATGCTGGAAAAAATTCTCTGATTTTTCTCTTCATAAGCATATGTTTGAGTAAA